GCCGCCTTTGAATGTGAAAACAATCAACAAAAGAAGAAAATATTACTCAGCACTGTCTGTGAAAATCTCAACACCACGCTGGAATGGGGCCGTGGTGTGGTGTTTTCAGATTGCGCAGATTTCCATCCGCAACAAAAAAACGTCACGCTACGACGCCGGTGGATAACTAAAATCAACAGGAAAAAGGACGAGCCCAGTAAAGGTGCACGAGTAAGTACATTTACTACGATTACTCAAGCGCGACGCCAGCTGCTTCGCTCAATGATTTGCGTGCAGTATGCCCGTAGCGCGGCACCAAAGCATTGCCGCATTCTAATAATAAAATATACTACCACTCAGACGTGCATGCGCGAACTGCGCACGTCTACTAAAGTTGTAAAATCGTGATGCAACGTAATGTGAACAGCGGGAAGCGTGGCTTTTCGACTGAGTTGAACTGCGACGTGACTTTACTGTCGCTGTAGGCTGTGCTTTCAGCTGGCGTCACTGTAGCACTATAAAATCTTGCCCTGGCTGGTACTTTCGCACAGCGTGTGTGTACCGACTCCTGAGTGCCAGGTATGATTGGCGAATGATAAACACAAGCGGTGCATGAGCGCAAGCCGGAGCGTGATTCGTAGCGCTACTGACGACGCCGGCTTGCAACAAACGTTTTCCGCTGTTCGCGTTTCTTTCTATCGCGATAGTACGTACAGTCGACGACAAAAGTTTACGGACCACGCAAGCGCGTGCCTAACTGCCTGTCCGCGCCACCTAGCGGCACAACAGCTACCAATGACCGCAGTTCTGGGCCGGAAACAGGTCGTCTTCTCATTCACTGGTCTTTAAGTTTTCTACTGCCGTGTAGCGCATTGTAGTTCGTGGTTTTCAAACGAAGCACTTATGTGCAGCAAGACCATCACATTGCTGTTTTCACCGGAGGACCGAAACTATCACGGCGTGCCTCGAACGGCGTTCCGTTGGCTAGGTGTCACTTTGTCATAAAGGTTGCGACTGATAACAGTTACGCTCATAAACTGCTTTCCAGGAAGAAGCTCGTCGACGTAGATGCCAAAAGCGCACCACGTTGAAAAGCGAAAGGTGAAAAATATTTGAACCCAGTCAGAAAAATAGACAGGCCATCAATTAGGGGAGGGATGCTTTCAGGGCATCGCGGTGCTGTCGAGCGCCGCTGGCATAGCGGAGTGTCACGAAGTGGCATTTGGCCATGCGCTCGCGTGGTCCATAAACCTTTATGGTCGACTGTACCTGATTAAGTTGCTTCCTCAGTCTGCAATACACGTGTTGTGGACATTCCAGACTGTTGAGGAAGCACATCGCGCCGTTTCACACGAAAAGAGCCCCAAATTCCAAGAGAGGAAAAGCGCAAAACATGCTTACAGCTGGACTCGGGGAAGAAAGTTTAGCATTTGATTTGCGGAGCGTCTGATTGAATGGCAGTTCAAGGTATTGCTTTGCCGCGCTTGCAACAGATGGCGCGACGTGCTGCCTAGATATGGTGTCGCACACTGCAATCGCTGTGCTCTGGTGTATTGATTGCAAACTAGTATAATTCGGTGTATCGAGCGGAGCGGCCGTCGTCTACCAACAAAGTTTTAGCCGCTGCAAATCGTCCAGTTTCAGCGCCAAAACGAAGAACGACAAGAGACCTACATTTTACGCGCAGCTGAGCGTGGGACAATGCCTCTTCCGCGGGGCTTGCGTCACAAAAGTGGGCGGTCCACAGCTTCCTCTAGCTCAGAAAAAGCAAAGAGCAGCTGTTGTTGGTCACGCTTACCAGTTATGCGATATATAGCCTCTGAAAATACGAAGAACGAGCGCGTTTTTCACTCTTAGCGTTTCTTGTCCTTGCGGCACGATTCGTGACGCCAACAGTTCGTTTACGCGGAGTCAGGATGAAATAAGCTCTCGAACGGTCGATATTCGAGAGATATCTCTTATGAATTGTCTCCAATCATGCACGCCTTGCAGTCGCACGCCCTTTCTGCCTTGTCTCGCATGGCTCTCGTGCACGATAAACTTACTTCGTTTACTGAGTTTGCGTCTAGCTGCGCAAGTGGCCGAGTCATACCACGCGTTTTGGGAAGAAATAGGTGGCGAGGAGGGGCAAGCGATTGTAGGATGGCGAAGAAGGAACTACCTCGCCTTCGAACTCGGTGTGGTTCTTGCGCATGCGCAAATGGTGCCGCTTAGAGCGAGGCGAGCGCCTGGCCATCGCCAGTTGCCAGAACAACTTGAAAATTTGTACGGCGCACGTGCTGCGATGATCCCTTGTAGCGTGGCTGTGTGCTATCCGCACCCTCATTACGGCCCGTACTGGCCCTCTCCGATGAGCTTCGAGCTTTCCAGTTCGGGATTAATCAGCTGAATGCAAGAAAGCAACGCTGCCATTCGGCAGGATAATCGCCGTGGGCAACTCGGTTTCTTCTGCAGGAACGGTAAGTACGAGCGTACGCAACATATAATGTACAGTGTCATTTACAATTGTCATGCTCTTCAGGGAGACGATGCGCCTTCGAATTGTCTTTTGCCCGCATATGTCATTGTGGGACCACGCAAATGTCGTTGCACATGGCACCCGAAGCAAGCTACACCAGCACGAATCGGTCAAGTGCGACCGTATTGGAGAAAACTTGGCCGCGCTGCAGATAAGATTGCAGAGCACAAAACGGAACAAGGGTGCGAATGATTCAAACAGCTTCAGCCTTAAAGGTACACTAAAGAGAAACAGTGACTTGACTTGGTTTAGATTGACGAACTGCACTCTGAGAACGCTAATGTCATACGTTTCATCATCATAAGTTTATTATTAGCAGAGAAAATTTAGGTTAAAGCTTCATTTTTAAATTTATCGCCAAGATCTGCGCGCGTGACGTTGAAAATTTCAAAATATATTTTCGCAATGTTTGCTCGATGTAACTTTCTGAAACTTCGTATTCTAGTCCTATAGCACCCACAGATGACGATGTACTTCAATTTAATTGGTTAGAAGCTCCGTAGGACCCAGTAGACGATTTCAAAATCTGTGATGTCATGGTGTTTCGTGCGGGAATCGCAAAGTGGCGTCTCCACCTGCGTTTTCTTTTCGCGTGTTTTCTTGCTTACCAAGCATCGTGTCGTCGTAAGAGTGGTGTTTTCGGGACTGTTAAACTGTACTTTAATAATACGAGAAAATTGGTTTGCTCTTTAGCGTCCCTTCCTACCCACGTTGCGGCGAACCACGATTCTAGGTGTAGCTGCACGGCAGGCATAACAGTTAGTCTCCTGACCGTGGTCATTCCAAACCGCGCTAGTACCCTCACCAACCGAGAAGCTGACAACATGGCGGACGATTGAGCTTCGCATCAGCCGTGAACCAATGCAAGTTAATTGGCAGCCTCGCGTTGCTTGAACGTTTACCACAGAACGGGACTCCAGTCTGCGAACAACAGTCAAGCAAAACTCGTTTAAGACTAGTTCGCCAGATTACCCGGTCCTCAGCAGGATTAGCGAGAGAGTATTGAAACACGTTTCTCGAGGATAATCGCTTTTCGCATTGCTCTTGTCCGGCCGTCTGATACAGCTGTAAACACTGAATGTGTAGTCGAAAATTGCAACGAATCAATACATGGCCGCGGAGGTGTAGAAGCTGTAGAATTATGTGTAGAAGGGATGTGTCGTACCATGAAACTTGCCGAGGATGTGTGCGAAAACGTCTTGCTGACCACATGATTAACGAGTGATTTCATCTGTTTGCTAGCAATGGTGAGCCAGGTTCGGGGCTAACAACGGTTAATACTGTGAACCGTGGTTAGGCATAACGGCAGTTGAAACTGTCCCTGTGACACGGGTATTCTGTGTGAAATACTGTTGGATGTCTTTAGAAGCGCACATGAGAAAATAGAGCTCGTATTTACGAATTCTCCTGGACTCGATACTCGACCTCAAGGGGTCTTTGAGACTTCGCGTTGCAGAAATTGCAACACCAAACAGTCTTCAAAGATTCATTGAGGTCGAGTTTCGAGCCGAGGAGCGTTTGTGAATATGGGCCTATAGGTCTCCAAGTTAGATGCTTGGTCAGAGTTGATAAGAACAGCTTGCTTTCCTTTGTGTTTCTACTAACCTTTCAGTGCTAGCACAGCGTTTGTCGTGTACACTTTTAATTTCTTCTGTCCTATTTTTTGCGCTGACTGTCATTAGTGTGTTCCAACTAGCCACATTATTGCTACATTACAATTGCTACATTATTGCTACTACAATTGCTACATTATTTCAGAAAGAGAACACAGCGCTGAGCTACCATTTATTAAAGAATTGTTTTTCGCACATATATGAGGAAATCAGCCACTGCAATGCGCATGTCAAAAACAGATAACCACTTCCCATCATTTTGGAAAATTAAATAAAGAAACTGCAACTGTTAGATCAATATAACGACGGTGAACTGAAGCTTTTATCACCTAATATCTGAATCATCTTTGCCTCTATTATTTCACGCACACGCCTGTTCTTACTTTTTCTTATTACGTTAGGTTCTTGAAAAAAAAATTGGTTTAATCGTGCAGTCCTTACAATGCAGGAAAAGCGTAGCGTTGTCTGGTTTTTGCCATGACCATGTGTACTTTGTCTTTTTGCCTTGCTCTTAGCACGCCCTGCATGTCTGCTGCCGCATAAATAAACTAAGGCTGTCATATAGGTCCATTGAAGAGGAAGAGACAGTGTTAAACATTTGGACACTTTCTGGCTAGTTCCTTGAAGCTCATTGCACGTGAAGTAATTGTAGTATACTCGAGCGTGGATTACAAGCGCCATTTCGCCTTGTGAATAGGCTTAGAGCGAAGGTGTACACTGATCGAGGAACAGAGCAAAGAGATGGGATCTCGGTGCGCTGTTTCAAGCTCAGTATGTATCATGGGGCCCTACAACAACCAGTTTTGCAGGGTAGACTTTGTCACACAACCACATAAGTACATAGAATCAAGAGACAAACAAACAAAAAACCTAGTAAGGACACTTGTATGGCCGTATACTCACTGAAACAAACATTTATTGAACAATCCGGAGGTTCCACGAAGTATACACTTATATCGCAGTGTTCCGATTCATAAAGGCTGCATTGCTATCAAGTGCCCGAAGTGAATGTATCGATCGTTATGCAAGCAAAAGTGATCGTGCCGTCATACGCAGATGGTATTCTTGCAAACCTGCAGTGCAAGATGAATAAGATCGTTAAATTATATGTGCTTTCTTTAGGGACCAAATGAGCACTGTCCATGCAAAAACGATGTTCGCGTTCTTGTATTCGGGGTTTTAGCATTAAGGTCACGGTTACTCGTCGTCACCTGTACATCGGCCGTGCAGACCGTCCGAATTGTGAGGTACGAGGCACGCCCGAAACTAAACACCTCTTGTGCCTCTTCCCACGACACATCACGCAAGCAGTTTCGATGGCCACCGTCTTGCTGAACTCTACGAAGCAGCAAGATTCCACAACAGTTCCGTTGGGACCACCATTTAATCAATCAATGCGATATTCTGGAAGCACTGAACAAGTTGTTGCGTTAGACAAAACTGAACGAGACTGTAAATAATTTTTGCACTTTAGAGATCGCGCTTCATCGCCACCTTCTTCTTTATCATCACCATGAACGACTTCTCTCTTATTTCTGTACCACCCCTTCCCATTTCCTAATGCTGACTGACAGGTCAGAAAACTTGTTTAGGCTGACTTCTCGGCTTTTATGCTACAGTAAACTTTTCTATTTCTCTCCTAAGATCCCAATTGACGAATGAGGCACATAATTAAGGTGGTATCTTGTATTATTGTGAGGGGGACTTGAAGGTGAAACCCTGCGCGCCTTTGCCCTAAAGATTGACGCCTGAAATGCAGACACATTTAGCTTTGTCTTTTACTGCATGTGTCTTACTCCGTTTTATACTGTACACACGGCTAAACTTTCCACTATCCATAGAGCATTTGCTAAAGGTCCTCTGCATACGCTAAAAGCTGTCGCCTTAGATCTAAGGCAAAATCCTTTAGCATCTAATACTCGCGTTTTTGGTCCGTCTGTCCGTGTACTGAAACGGTGCCAGCTGCAGCCACTCCCCCTTACACTCTGAGTAATCACGTGAGAGCTGAGAGAGTATAAAAAAAGACATGGCATAGTCTGACTAATGACCACAGGCTTTTGCCGAACACACTTTGATACTATCGATGCACATGCCGGTGCCGCCTCCGCTGGGAGAGTTCTCCATGACGCATGCCACGCCGCCCTCACTGTACTCATTCGCCTTGCGCCATAACGTAGCATGTCAGACGTAGAATCTTTTTTTTTTTGCCTTATGAGTCATAAAAAGCCCTCGCGGTGCTCTTCAGTAAGTGCGAATTTCCGTTGTACAGCCGTTAATACGAGGCTGCTGCTCTGGCTGAAAGAGCGAAGTAGCCCTCTCACGATGCTCTGCCGCTAGGTGGTGCCAGCAAGTGGACCGCCATAGCCGTGGCCGTTCAGTGATTCGGCATATGATAAACTGATGTCTGACGGTGCTGCGCTTCAGTACGACATTTTCTTTAAGAAAATACCATAACAACACGTTCCGTCAAAAACTGTGGTTGTTGTACTACAGTGACGTCCGCGTGCGAGACCACAAATATGACGACTGCCTTTTTAGCACCCCTTACGGATGACGTCACGTGAATACCTTTATGCTTTGTCTGTGAAGATGAAATTATTGCGCTTACTTTATTTTTATTTTAGTACAGCTGACATTACGAATTATTTGTAACTTATTAAAACCTATTCATATCAACTAAATGCATCTGCTCCATTCGAGGGCTGAATAAATAGCCGAATTAAAACTAACTGAATGAACGGATGAAATAAGATGGGGAACTATATTTAATTACATATTAGTTTTTTTCAAGTATTCGCGCACCCATTTTGAATGTTACGGCACGTGCCTCTCTTTCTCCAAGGTCACGAGTGTTAGCTTTCATTAGCTAAGCTACTAAATTACAATTTAACATGTCTTACTGATAGCTCTCAGAAGCGTCCTGTTATACGGCAACTAATTCAAAGAATCTGCGCGCATTAAACGTAATGGCGTGCTGCCCGCTAATATAACGAATCTGTTTTAGTTAACTATCAGCATGTTTATTTCACTTGCAGTAAGGTGGTAAGACGGGCGAGTTGTAATCGATGCGTACGTGGGAAACTGAGCGAGAAAACGGCGGAGACACAAGACGAGAAGGACGAGTGTTGTGGACGAGGAGGACGACTGGCGCTGCGATCGTTCAGCAACCATGGGAATGATGGGTAGTGCACACATTTGCCTAATCTTCGTACTTGCGGGCGGCGAATCGTACTGGCGGCTTCGTTTATTGCTGGTTACGGTTTTGCTTTGAAAGAAAAAAAAAAACGAAGCCTTTTGTACTTTGTGACCTGATTCGAAATGGTAAGCCTAATAAAATGAGGTTGCGAAGCGCAAACGCTGAACATTCGCTAATTTTGTTTATCGTAAAAAAATCAGCACCAAGTCACACGAATATACACGGAGCCAAAAGCAGGCCAGAAGTACGAAAATTAGACAAATGTGTGTACTGCCCGTCATTCCCATGCTCGCTGAATTGCCGTGCGTTGCAGCTCCCATAGACAGTAGCGCCAGAGTTCTCTCTAGTGTACATTAGAAAACTCTACGCCTCGCAATCTAGCAAACAAACTGAATGTCTTGAGGTCGGCAATAGAACGTGGAACTCTCTCAGATTCGCTCAGAAAATATATTTGTCACACTTTGTTCAAACGGATTCAGTCACCGAAACATTACTCAACCTGACTCGCTTAAACCACAGGTCAATTCTGAGTGATTAAACGAGTGAGTCGACTCGGGAGTCAGTTTGCCGGCGTCTGGTACGTAGCCATCGTTTTGCGAAAAGCACCTCCGTAAGTTCTCAAGCCCTTTCGTGTTTGTGCTGTCATTTGCACGCACACGAAATGAACTACGTAGCAGGGATCGATTGACTTCATGTTTCACTGATGAGGTAGAAATAATACTATTTTCGCTGCTCGTGTCGATCGATTCGATACAAGCAGCACGATAAGTGCTTTGGGTTTCATGTCGCTGAGGTCGCTTCGAAGAGAAACGCTGTCTTACCCTGTGTCGATAGCGTTTGTCGCAACGCGTACCATCCGGTGCTAGCGTCGTCAGAAACCTGAGCTTATTCGTATTTTTCTCCACTACCAGGCAAGGAATTCTGCACTTCTTGAGGAAGGCGAACAGCTGCGAAGGGAATGTAGAAGAAGTAAAAAAAAAAAGGCGGAATGAATATTGACAAAAATAGCCTGTAGGAGTAAGTGAGAAGACGTTTTTGCGAATAATGGAGTGTTAAAAAAAGAAAAAAGAAGTCATAACGTCATAACGAGAACTTGAGAGGTCACGTGATCTTTTGTGGCTTTTTTGTGGATCACTTGACTGCCTCGCTAAATAGCTGAGTTCGATTCTGACTACAACCGTGACTTTCATTAGATTTGCACTATATGTACGTCACGTGATTTTTTTTTCCCTATCACATGCCGAATTTTTCAAGTCGCATGTATGATCAGGCACTTAGGGCTTTCGCCTTAAAAAGATTAAATGGTTGGAAATCATTGTGGAGACAAGGACAAAGGTTTTCTCACCTCAAGAAAAAAAGCATGCTTCTTTGCTGGGTAGAGCGCTTTGCAATAGGCATCGAAGCTCGCCACGTGTCCTGGCAGTTTTAATGCCTTGTTGGGGAAGGACAAAATGGGACAGCTGAGTTTCTTGCGCAGGCAGTTGGATGTTTCCGATCTGTCGACAGAACGAAAGACGATGCTAAATGAGCTGAGCAGGAACAGAGAGGACAAGGCTTAGCGCTTGAGTCGTGTTTCACAGTATCCGCTTGTTTTTTTCATGCAAAATATACTACATCATTTCTCAGTTAATAGATTAGCGTCGTCAGTACACAGAAATATACACATCAACGCTACTGTGTCCGTCTATACACTATAGTTCTCCTGCGTGCTTAGTAAGGAATAGGTGCCGACTAGGCCAAACAGCAGCTTTCGTCAGCACTTTGGTGGCACCGAGGTTGAGGAATTTTTCATATTAGTCACGTAACAGGGCTTACTTCAAGAACTCAGCGATGGCCTTCTTACTGCAATTCGAAAACGTGAAGGCCTGTTTTCCGTGCGCATATTTGCTCATTAGGTACCCATCTTTCGTTTCGCAGTTACCCCACGTCCCTCGGCTGTCGTCAGGAGAGCCCAATCTGGAAGAGAAAGTAAACCTTTGTATGAATAAGGAATTTAACTGCACAAAATACTCTGTATGTACATGCTCGATAGTGTGCACTTTTGTTTAGTATACCAATTGCCGTCATCGTACACTATACATTTTCTTTTCGGCTTGCGCAAAACGTATAGAGAAATGAGTGAGTGAAACAACTTCATTTGGCCTGCAAAACACGTGAGTAAACTCAATTAAAAAAATATTGGCGATGCTTGCTACTGAGTCGCGCAGGGCTTGACACAGCGAAACTGTACGATTCTGAATACTATACATAGGTTGCCGCCGTAGCTTAGCACGTGGAGTCTTGCGCTCCTATAAACTCGATGGCGTGGTTTCGATTCAAGATCACGGAGGCAGCATTCCCATGGGGGAAAGAACATCCGTGTACTTAGTTTTAGGTGCACGTTAGCGAACACCTGGTGGTGGTGGTCAAAATTCGATTCAGAATTCTCTACTGTGGCGTGCCTCATGATAATACGGTGGTGATGACGCGTGAAAACCCGACAATTATTATTATTATTATTATTATTATTATTATTATTATTATTATTATTATTATTATTATTATTATTATTATTAGAGTGACGTTAGGTCAAACGATGAGTAGTACCTCTTTACACCAGTGCTGGAATTATTTGAGGCTATCTCACATACTTGTGGTCGTCATCCCTGCACCGTAATCAGAAAATGCATACCACTCGTTAACTTGGCGGCTTGATTATAGTTTGCTCCATTACGCCTCGGTAACCCGTTTTCTTCTGCGTTGCACCCATTCAATCGGCGTCACAACTCGACCGAAGAGCAATACGTTTGTCGGGGTTTTAAAGTTCTAAAAGCAGACAAGATTATGAGGGACGCCGAAGTAGAGGGCATCGGTAATTTCGACCACCTGGGGTTCTATAGCGCGCACCTAAATCTCGGCACGCGGGTCTCAAACATGTTTGCCTCAGTCTAAAATTCTGTACGCCACGGAGTGCGACTTTCGGATCACGAAAGCGAGTGCTCGTCTCACTGGCAAATGAGGCGTGTTGCGGTGCGGGTTCGTAGCGTAGCACAGCGCAGGTCAGCACATGTGTCTAAAACACTGAAAAGATGCCATCCGGGCTGCGCCGACGACGTTTTCTGATTGTAACTCCTTTGAATGAGCCCATATTCCCGCATTCAAATGCCGGCAAACATACCTGTTTCTTGCGGCACGCTACCGCGTTGCCTGGCGTGCATAGCGCCACACAACTATCGAGTCCACATGACCGGCCGTTCATGGAGGCTACCTAATCACAATTAACGCGCTTGACCCTGCCTTGACCCTGCCTCAACAGCGCTCGTCATATCTACGCAACGACTCGCGACACGTCCATGAACGGCACAACGGAGAGATACGGTTAGGCGGGCTTCCTACGCTGGGGGGCCGAGCCAGGAAGCGTAATGTCACGTTTTTTGTCACGTGACCGCTTCAGCCGATCACTTCACAAATGACGTCACGTGTGACGTATAATTTGGGTCACGCCACCCAGAGATGTTAGGTGCAAATAGACTCTCCCGCTTTCACCTGTGACGACTCGAAGGCGAAAACCACCTTCTTTTTCCTTCTCAGCACATATGGGAGTAGGGAACAGCAGCCGTGGCTTCACGTGACAAGCGCCGTTTCACATTCTTCTCGTGAGATGGCGCGCCCTCCCGTTTTGTTCACCACCCAAAGGAGGGTGCCGAAACAGCATCGCGCGGCATTACACTACGATCAGGATGATGTGACAAGTTTTTTTTTTCGGTGCGAAGTCATGATGACGACACTACGTGATGAATTTTCTGCACCACTCGTCTTCGAAGCCGCGGGATGGTCAAATTTTCCCCTTGATGAAGCGTCCAGGGCTTTCGCCTGAGAACACGTCCTTCAGAAACGCTACCGAGGTGTTGTCCAATCGTGAAAGTAGATTGAATGCACACTTTTGGTTTAAGAAATGTTTTTTTTTTAATCGATGGGAGGGAAGAGCCTCCTGGGTGCATACTCACAGGTGTCCAATTTCGTGAGCGGCGGTGTTCACACCCGAAAACACGCCTGGCTTGTCCTCGCCAACTGCCGCCTTTTCAGTGGAACACGCTTTGGCGTTTCCTGCCGTTCCTGTAAGATGCCTATAAAGCTCTGTACGCGTTTGAGTCTCACAATCTACGATTAAAACTAAGAAAGACTTGTGCAGTTCATACCAGATATGTATGAGCTCTTCCCTCCGGGTATCAGAGTAATCATTTCTCGGCTGAAAGTATAAGAAAACAAGCACTTATGCACTCGGGCACTTCAGAACACATGCTGGTGCTGCGTCAATATCTGACGCAGCTCCCCCAAAAAACAACGCACAAGCTGTCCTACTGTATACACGGTATACGTGTTTTGCAGTGAAAGATTCTGTCGTGAGATCACAGCAACGTCCGTCTTTTTTGGCGTCCGTAGCCGCTATTACGAGAAATAAGAAATCACAAAGATGCCCCGGAGAGAACGGGATTCCAAGCCCTCAACGTAGCAGCCCCCTACTCTTCCTCTGAGCCACACCTGATCCCGAAAATTCTTTGCAAACTTATGAAACCAATGCAGGATTCATGTCAAAGAAGGAATCGCCTTAACATGTGTAGTAGAGCGTTTCAGAATTCAAATAAGAAGCAGGTGTCACGCCATGCGAATTGCGTAACCAGAAGATCATTGATCCATTACAGAAGGCTCAGCCATAATTCTTCACCGTTATCAGTCACAGTCTCGACAAAGTGTACAAAATGCCCTACAGTTGTGTTGCGGTTTCACAAACAATTAATTTACGATCCATTTGAGTGTAGCGGTATAGTATTTGCCACAAGAGTGTTAAAAAAGCTAAAAAAAACCTCCCTGAAAGCTTTCCCTGTGACTGTGCGGCGCGTTCTGCGCAGCCGTGGCGTTTTTTTTTTCTTCTATTGGGATATTTAAACACAGTGCCAAAGTGAGGCACTCCAAGAAGGTTAGCCCTCTGCGCTCAATTTTTCTCTACTCAAAGTTGTTTCCCATTTCTAACAGCGGCTACACCAGGCTGTTGTTGTTGTTGTTGTTCTCCTATTGTTAGTGGCGCATACCCACTGTGGGGGATTGGCCAAGAATCGAGTGGTTTCAAAATTTACTGTTCAGATTTGGAATGATGGAGATTTAACAGAAAGATTACCGATAGCCTAGGAAAGTGTGGTGCTTAATGTAATGCATACAAATATTTACATACACGAATTTATTCTTAGAATAGAGCAATAATCTGATTTTATACGTATATAATTATGTGGACCTGTTAGGATAATGAAACTGGTTAATTAGTAAACATATTAGTCTCATCAATATAGTCCCGGACGGCCGCGCATACTGTCGCATTAGAAAAACCAGAAATGGAAGCTCCAAAAGACAAAATGACAGGCAGAGATAAGTCCATACCAATACCACGTAAAGGTATTTCTAATAGGGTTTTTCGTAATGTGTTAAACCGCCTGCAGGTAAAAAAAAAAGGTCTATTGTTTCCAGTTCATCACAGAATGCACACAGTGGCGAAGGTGCCTGAGCAGACCCGTGTTTATAGAAATTTAGATTTGGTACCCGGCAACGCAGTCTTGTGATAGATACTTCTTGTTTTCGAGTGCGGCAAAAGTCTCTTCGCTGCTTTGGGGAACTCGAATCAACGTGAAGTTCAGTCTTGCTTACCCGGTCGCCATGTACACTGCGTCTGCTTCTTGGTAGGCCTTGTCTTTTTGCACTACTTTGTTAAGTATTTTAAGCGTCTCGTTGCCGATCAGGTCACCGTTCTCCCACAGCTTAACATAGCTTTCAGGATTCTGTAATGACAATATTAGGATTTAGGTAGGATGAAACATGCCTCAATTTTAGCCTTACCGTTGACGTCGTCTGAATTTTTGTGATACCGATGGGAACGGGAGGAGTGAGCTGGTCCATGCGGAGGCTGACCTGGGAAACAAGCGATGTCATTTACACATTACCCTGCGAGCAAGCATTTTGTTTCTGTGGCACATTCTAAGCTATGAAAAAAAAAACATCTACAGGCAAAGTTGAAAGTCGAGTTAATTGTTTTTGGTGTGGGTAGATGCTACTTACGAGCGAAAATGAATCGGCAACAAGAAAAGATGAACGCAGGACGACCCTTACTCCTCACAAAAAATTAAGATAGATTAGTGTTTTGGAAAAGTGCTTGAGTGAAACATAGCTTGGCGTGTGTAGATGTTGACGGAATGTTAACGCTACAATTTGTAGAAATGTTTTTTTTTTTGCAGTTTTTTGAAGTGTCGTTCACTGGAAGTAAAAAGTCACTTGAAGCTAGTGGTCGACATGTGTGCATCTTTCTTTGTCCATTTTATTATCGCTAGTAATACGAACTCACAAGCAAAAAGAAAAGACAATTTGTTAGATAACGTGCCTACATGCTATTTGCCAACGTTAGTGTTAACGAGAACAAACGCGATATAATGAACGCGTAACGTAATTGAGAGACGCATGCACGCAACGAATAATGCTAATCATCTCCTAGTGAACTGACGAAAGCTGAGCGGGTGTAGACGTGATTGATGCACACGAACAGTGATAATTATATCTACGGTTTTACGTCCCAAAACCACGATATCATTTATGAGAGACGCCGTAGATAAGCGGCTCCGGAAATTTCGACCATCTGGTGCACTGACATCGCACAGTTCGCAGGCCTCTACCGTTTCGCCTCCGTCGAAACACGACCGCCACGGCCGGAATCGAACCGGCGACCTTTGGGTCAGCAGTCGAGCCCCGTAGCCACTGTTTTACCGAGACGTGTATCGTATCGCGCCTCACTCGTGCGCTACGCACGACAAGCTCAAGGGGCTTCGCCCGATCTTGATGCTATCGCGTGTTGATCAAAGGGGCGTTGCCCCTTTGATCAACTCATTCAAAATTTACAATCAAAATTTTCAAAATTTCAAAATTTATAATCAAAGGGGCGTTGCCCGTTTGATTACAAATGTGACGGACTGAATAAACGGGGCAGCACTAGCTGCCTGACGCACCTGCTGTCACGCTGATCCCTGGTCCCGTACAGGGACGCGAGAAACGGCAATGTGGTCATTCTGCTGCTCATGACGCAACGTTCAGGCACCCTCCTAGTTCCTTTGTGCATCTTAACGCACGCAATGTTTGCTGACTGCGACTGTGCGTGGGCATGTAGCCAGTTCTCGAAGCCACATGCCATTCGGGTGATGGCGCCGGGACAAATGCAGTAAGCATGTTTAGTTCGGTGTTGAACTGATCCGCCACGTGCCCGCGACAGAGACTTCCGCCGGCAGAATCTCGACATTATCGAAATCGCAATGGATGGTTTACAGCGCTGTCTTCGTAAATATCTACGCAAAAATCACGTATCGTGTTTGCGTGCTCGCTTCATTCTGTCTTTTCATCATCTACTTGCAGGAACATATAGTATCCACGATCTGTAAGCGAAACAGTGAAAAAGCCTTTTCGACGTAATTTGTGCAGTTTCCTTTTTCGAAGTGAAATTTGACTTCATGGTAAAGTGTCATCGCAAAATTGTTTTTCGCAGGAAATGGCACCAGCGAGTCTAATGGAATTTAACGCCCGAAAACCACGATGTGATTATGAGGGACGCCGATTCGGAGATCCTCGGAAAATTTCGACCTTCCCCACGGGGGTAATTAACGTGCACACAAATCTAGGCACACGGGCCTCGATCATTCTCGTCTCCATCGAAACTGCGGTCGCCGCGGCCGGGATTCGATCCCGCGACCTTCGGGTAAGCAGCCGAGCATCGTAACGTCTTGGCCAATATGGCGGGTGGTCACGATTTACTTGAACTTGTTGTTTACGGAGACGCACCGTTACCCAAGGAACACACCAAACTGATCAAGATGAGTCACTGCTTACCGAATGCAGAAACAGCGTGACGTAGTAGATGTGAGCGTCCTTATTCCCTCTGAAGTGCTCGGTGTGATTGTAGTCACTGATGAAGTGCAACTCGACGCCGAACTCCTGAGCAATCGCTCCTCTCATTTCTTGAAAAAAAAAAGACCGTGAGCATGCAAAACAAATATGTTTGAACAGACACGAAAGGCAAATGCTAAAAAGATATCGCTTGATGATATGGTGAAACGAGCGCTGCAGAATTGGGCACACACATACACAGACATGCAAACACGATATGGCTACAGTTGTCAGCAAACATAACGTGGAGGAAAGTTTAAGCGAAAGGACAGGGACAGCCAGTTCTTAGACCGGCTGGCTACCCTGTGCTGGGGAAAGGGGTGAGGGAAATAAAAGATGATAAAGAAATGCTTCGAAGAGAGAGAGAGAGAGAGAGAGAGAGAGAGAGAGAGAGAGAGAGATTACAAATAAATAGCGACAGAGGAAAGGAAACATCAAAGAGTATAAGACACTAAAGTCTGTCTCTGAGGTCAGTTGTCCGCAAAAAGCGCAGCAACATTCCACTAGCGCCGCTTAGCTTTGGGTCGTAGTTGCCGAGGTGTTACCTATGCATGCCCGCATATCGAAATATTATATTGACAGCAGCGCCCGGCGCTTCACGGCAGGCATCAAAGTAGGCCAGGTGACACGTCGGAACGTACATTGTGAACTAGCAGCCATTTATTAATTTTCCAGTAGCTCGCTGTACCTGTATAAGTTTTAAACAGTAAAGTAACATGAACTCAAGGGGTAGATATAAAACATGTGTCGGCAGAAAAATTAATGACGTAAGCCTTAAACAAAAATGCATGATGCACAAAACACTCACCACAAAGTACAAATACAGAGAAGTAAGAGATTCAAAGCCAGGTGGATACTAGAAGCGGTGAAAAATCGTTGAACAGGGAATATCACTGGAGCCAACGTGGACGCCAAAGTAGAAACTGCCTTAACGGAGACAAGCCCGCTGGTCGAAACGTTGGGATCACACTGCAGATTTCTCATTACTACTGTAATGTAATGCAGCCCCCCTACATCATCCCCAATCGTTATCCTACTCGAACGATCAGCAGAGAATTTAGAAATAGACTGGATGCTTTTTATTAAAGCTACCGAATGTGCATTGGTACACCGGTAGGCCATCTTCTCATACGCGAGAAATGTTTTCGATTATATATTACACCGCGAACTACTATTTTTCCTCGTACAATTGAGTGTGAGTGGAATTTACAACAATGTATACCTCAGCTGACAATCTGGGTTAGAGTGGTCATTACAGAATAGTGATACGCCAAGTTGGGCCCCAGGTTTGCTCTACCAGCACAGCGATTTTCCGCGTCAATGATCTGTTGACGGCAGAGATTGTGGCTTACTCACGACGAATAAATATGTATTAGTTTGCAGAAGAAACATTTCTCAATATCGAAACTGGAATATCATAACTTGTAGACATTTCAGACTCAAATATGAGAGAGCGCAAAGCGATCTTTAAGAATATCATCACAGGTGCTACGGCGTTAGCCTAGCGTTCAATAAAAATAAACAGAAGCCTCATTTTCTCTGATACTGAGCAGTAGCTGTCACTTTTTATCGATAAATAACAAAATGTAGGAAGTTGTTTGTTTATCACGTGTGGCTGCCCTTTTTAAACGTATTTAGATTTCCCCCCAGATTCCACCGCTTTTTTCAAGCAACCCTCTCCTTGTAAGTACATTGAGCACTACAGAGTCCAAATCCTACAAGACGTACCGACTTCCGGAAGTGCTGCTTCTCGGGATTCCCTTTCTGTAAAAAAAAAAAAGGGCAAACAACGTATACACGCAGACATTATGAAGCATCGGTTGTTCAGAGTTAGTGTGTCACACTTGTAAAGCGATTATTTAAGACATAATCTCGGCATTTGCGTTCTACTCATCTCGTCTCCAGTTACCTTGTAAAATTGATCATCTGGAATAAAACACGTGAGTTCACTACTGCTGTTCTTTTCACCGCCTGCGTTAATAGGTGACATTTTCGACTTGCACTCGCTAATACTGGGAAGTAGGCTTACATCAAGAATGATATCAACTGTTTTTTATGGTACAGTTAACTGAATCGAGAAATTAGTTTACTAAAGTACCTTGATAAGAAAACGTTACGTTTCATAACATTTTGCTAACGTGACAGATCTAAGCTTGTGAAAGCGTTTGTGAAATTTCTACTGCTGTTTTATAGACACAAAGAACCTCTGTATAAGATTGCATGATTGATTGACGTACTGATAACAGTGGATCAGCAATTTACGTGCAACCTATAAATGTCACTCGCAAAAAAAGAAAAGAAAACGCATGCATTATAATAGGGCACCTGCGAAGATTACGAGTAGCTCAAACCTCTTTTAATATAAGGTTTAGGAGCGAAGCTCCTTATGGTCTGTCCATCTCTCCGGTGTAGCCAGCACAGCATATCCACAGACAGACGGACGGAAGAATGGACGGACGCTGCGCCCCACTCATCATGATTCACTCCGAGAATATGCTGTGATTTTTTTTTCTTCAAGGTATCATACGATGAATCTGCACTTGTCATACATAGGGAGTAAGCATGCGCGAATGTTGATAATTTTGCAAAAATAAAGTAAGGAGCTGTAGGATTCCTTAGCATACTTGCCAATTACTTCGTCACTTTCACACGATCCTTGTATGCTGTGAATTCGCACTATCTTGTGTGCTGCTCTTCTAGTTGAGGACCTTTCCCGAAGCTTTGCTGGCTCAATGCGATGAGTGAAATTTACAAGGCCTGTCTGAACGAAAATGATGTCGGTTGACACATTGCGCATGACAGGAGCTTACGCACGCGCGCAGAAACATTTATGTTTGTGCAAACAACACTTACAATGAAGTAGTCGCCGTGTTCTGTAGGCGTCAACAGCAGGGATGCCTTCTTTTTTGTGTCTTCGTAGAGATGTCTTTCGTAGTGGGCGCCGTTAACCTAGGCGAGTTCGAAAGGGGAAGAGTTGTGTTCAAGCTGTAATGCAATAAACTTTACTGGATCATTTCTTTGTTCCCCTATGGACAATTTTCCTATGTAGTGGAAATCAAGTGGAAATCATTCCAGAAACTAAAGGGAAGGACGCTGTGGTTAATATGTGCTCACTCACTCACTCACTCACTCACTCACTCACTCACTCACTCACTCACTCACTCACTCACTCACTCACTCACTCACTCACTCACTCACTCACTCACTCACTCACTCACGCACTCACGCACCATGCATCACACACGCCAACTGGCCCCAACAACAAGTTCTACCAATTAGCCCAACAAGTTCTACCAACTAGCCCAACAACAAGTTCTTTTACAATGAGTCTCATTAGACTTCTAATTTCCATGCAGCGAAAAATCAAGGTCAATGTATTGATAGCGCCAAATAGCTAATTTTTCAGAAGCTGCTTAATACCGAATTATATATTGCAGTACAAAAAAAAAAACACACAAAAGACGAATGGTGGTCACGGTGTCAAGTTTTGTACTTTTTGGGTTCGTTTTATTCGGAGTGAAATTTCCTGTCCATCCGCGAATAGCTTGATGATAGAAAGCGCTTAAAAAATCACGCCATTTCCCATGAAAGGGAACCATGTGGGGACGCGAAGCAGCGCTGTTGTTTGCTTGTGTTTCCATTTGTGTCTTTCCTTGTATGTTTCATTTGTGTGTGGAGTTGTGTATATGCTGTGCACCACTTGTATTACCTCCTCACATGTGCGCATAACTGTGTGTGCGCGCAGCTGGGAGCGTGCAACGGTGCGAGCGCGCAGCATTATATACGTGTGTACAGCTGTGGCAGAGAGATACACGGGAGAAGAGATACACGGGAGAAGAGATACACGGGAGAAGAGATACACGGGAGAAGAGATACACGAGAGAAGAGATACACGGGAGAAGAGATACACGGGAAATTCGGTGCCATAATAATGTTCAACCTCATTATTTTCAGTCTTAAATCACCATTGTCTATAGTGAACATGACCTACAGGATAAGATAGCGTTCATATGTCGAGTAGCATTAAATACCAAATGTTGATCTTCTAGCTAATGTTAATCGTGTCAAGTTGTTTCCCGTCATTATTGCCACTTGTACGAATATGGATACAGTTGTCTTGGGCAATAATCGTCATTCGTGCAAAAAAGAAAACTTTACTTCAGATTTCTATGACCTGGTTTGACAACTTTTAAATATTCAAGATACCAGGAATGGAAGAGGTGTTAACGAGGAAATAAAGGAAGGAAAAAAAAGGTATGGAAGTAGATGAAGAAGGTACAGAAGACATAGAAGGACATGTAGTAAATGCGTGAACGAGCGCAGACAGCGCAGTGCCATCATACGTGCTCGCAGAGGTTGACTTTTCTAAAAAAAATATCATCTCATGGTATTTGGTTATCTCCACAAACTGTGAGTAAAGTCTAAGTTTTGACGGAAAGGCATCTGTGAGTGAGACAGTGAGTGAATTAGAGAGAGAGAGAGGATGACTGAAACACTTGGAGATAATCAGGATTGAGTATTTCTGGCTGTACTTCGCTTGGGAAGGGACAATGTGATTAAAAAATTTGAAGATGAATACCAATCTTGATGTCACAGACGAGGTGACGTCTTTCTTCTCCGTATGTCACAGACATAGAATAATTTCGGTGTATAGCCCTGAGAGGAGGAAGATATGAGGAAAAGACGCTATTTTCCTATAGCATCAGCTCCTTGTATTCTGAATGTCGTATCGCAACAGTGGTATTGCGGCCTTCTGCAGCTACTCCCAAGATCTCGAGGTCTTTGACGTCACGGACAGGGTTGGTCAAAAGTTCCTAGGCTGTGCAGCCATAGGAACACATTGGTCTGGCAACAGTGGCCTGGCAACTCTTGACCAACTCTGTACTACGTGCCTACAGGCGAATATGTTGTCATCTTAACTTGCACCACTCACGTATTGTTCGACGACGCCATCTCTTGTCACATCCCGCAGTAAAAGACTCCTTGCGAGTATGGATGCCTTCCTCAAGTGTAGGCTGTAGCCTTCGTGAACGATGAGTACTTTTTCCGAGCCGTCTTCTCGAGACTCCAGCACTCGAGGGTAAACCGTAATGCTCTTTTCTGTGAACTCATGGTGTACCGTGAGTAACTGCAAGTGAGCCAGAACATAAAGATGCACTCCGACTGTTGTCGCACTGAAAGGCTTCGAAATACGAAGGTTATTTTTGTGAGTACGTAGCGTAAATATCGGTGTCAATATGGCTACTGCCTTTAGGTTCTTGACAAATCGAATCGTGATGCTTGAAATTCTGCTTGGGACGGAGGAAATAGATTGTCGGCAACGACTTCATGTCACGGGTAGGTTCATTAAAGATGATTTTGAGATGAGCCTTGAGTTGGCCGTCATGCAGCCTGTCATAGCCCAATGCTGATTGCCGTTGACACGTCTGACTAACCAACAGAGACATTCTCTGGATAAGTAAACTATGTTAGAATTCATCGATTCATCTCCCAGCGCAATAAAGTTTTTCCAAACCACAATAAAGTTTTTCCAAACCAAACCAAATCTCCCAGCACTAGCAAGATAAATGCTTTCATGGTTCCTGCTTCGAGATCGATACTTAGAGTTTGTTGCACGCTAAAAAAAAAAAATCCTATGTGGTCCCACTATGGCCTACTTCATGCAGCGTGCCTGATAATCATATCCTGGTCTTGAGTCTGACTCGTATAATGCCAGAAATCATTAAGATAGAAACTGTTGGACAAATATTTTCCTTAGAATATAGGGCAGTCCAAACATTTATTTAAACTCATTGCGCCAAGGTTTAGCTTCTAACAAAGCTGTATATTACAAAGGTAATCAATAAATATGCTTAGTCTTCCGGGAGAGCATCCATTCCTTATATGGCGTCGGTAATAAACGTATATTTACTTAATTTATATTAGAAATTTTATTTGATCCGTGTTCATAGCGTTGACGTACTTCGGGTGAATGAGACTTACAAAGCTCGCTAGATTCGTGGTAAACCATGTTTAGAAACCTAAGTAGTAATAAATGTCTCGGGAACGTACCTGGAGCTTAAAGCCAGGCGAACAACTACTAGGTAAACACAGCAGCCCCGAAAGACGCGTTGTCTGAAAACGACAGCCAAACTGTCTTTTCTTCTGCCCCTTTTTATTTAAGCGCTGCAAATTACTCGTCTGTTGTGCCAATGAAGCCAAATTAGTGATAAAACTGACTAACACCTTCACCATATTAAAAGAATTTTCTCGCCCCTCTCTGTCTCGGGCTTTGCAGCGAACTGCCGTTAACAAGTAAATCGAAACATTTAGAAGCTTGCTCAAAGTGACACTAAAGGGAAGCAATACATTGGTTTTGGACTTATCGATTATACTATGAAAACTCCAGTGTCGTTATTTCACCAGCTGCAGTTTTACTTGTAGACAAAAAAAAAATCAGTCGATAGTTTTCCTTCGAAATGTCCCCCTGAAAGACTACAATGGAGACGTCGCGCATTTCGAATTGTTGTTTTCGTATTTTGATCACATCGGCTCAATCAAATTTACTGAAACTTTGTTTTGAGGCTCCCTTAGAATACAATGTACTTCACTTGCACCGATTAAGAACTACGTATATTCTTGCAGACGCCATCAAAATATGATGACGTCACAGTGAGTGGTGCGGGAGTTTTGAAGTGGTGTCGCCACCTGCATTGTTCTTTCGCGCATATTGTCGATCATCAAGCTTCTTCTCGCAGCAAGTACGGTGGTATTTGAATCGTGTTAGAGGAATTCACCAATACGAGACAAATCATTTTTATGTTATGCAAAAACATTCACTAAGAACGTGAAACAGAAGAAGCGGGGATGACCGACTGAGTTTATTTCTGTGTTTTTATCTAGACCCAACAACCATGTCCTGTGGAACCACTGCTTAACTCGGGCACGTCGATCTTTGACCACCAAAGCGCTCATAACGTAAGTAATGGTCTCGCTTTTCTGTTAGTTAAACCTAGCTCTCTGATTACAGGAGCCACTTGTAACGCCTTTCGTTATGTGCTATGAATTGGTGTTTTTCGAGATGCCAAGAATGAAAACCAAGGTTCTTCCCCGAATAAAATTGGTAAACAGGTCCTTTCCTTTCGGGCATTCCGCCAGAGAAAAGCGGTGACAAAATAAAACAAAAATGGCTGTGGCTTAGCTCAGTTACGTCTTAGCTTAGCTCAGTTAGTTAGGTATGGTCAATATTACTGTTGAGCTTGGTTTTTTCTACGATAACGCTTCTCGAGGCATGCGGCTCGTTCTTCCTCCGTTTCGGCTCGCTGCCTCCTCTTGGTTTTGTACTGATGACAAAGCTTGGTTTCTTTCACTCTCTCCGACTTACTTTTCGTATCTTCCGGTGAATCCCACAAAGCCGCCGCTTCCACATATACGATGCAACGACGGCTCCTTCGTTGTTGCAACGCGGTTTCACTGGCTCCTCCTCCGATGTAATGCCAGATGGCGCGGTGAGCGGGGTTGTCAGCAACGGCGGTTGCTAGGCAACAGGTCATTTCACGGTGGGGACCGTAGCCACAGGCCACAGCGAAACGGCGAAAATACGACCAATGTAGCTCTCGCTACAAAAGACTAAATACCACGCTTCCACTGCTAAGTTACCTTTCACTTTGCTACCGAGTGCTTTTTTTTTCAAATTAAGACTTCGCCGGGCAATTATAGAAACGCGCTACCTCCGATTCGGAAGTGCGCAATTTCTGACTCCTACTGCAACCCTTACAAAGCATTCCTTCCTCATCTCACCTACCAGCTTCCAACCCGTCTCCATTTTTGTTCCTTTTTCCATTTAGTAAAAGTTTTTTCATTTAATTTCATCGAGTGCTTGGGTGGCGATTGAGTGCGAGCCGGTTAATGATGATGATGATGATGATTGTCTATCTGCGACACACGACGAACCTCGATTATAACAGCTCTGCTGTTAAAGAAATTAGAGAAAGAAAAATGTTTCTAAAAGACCGCACGCTACGTACAAGATGGAGTTGTCTATTACAATGCTATTGGATATCGCATGAAAGAATCCTTACAGCCAACTGCATCGATAAATCTTGGCTTTAGCCATCGCCACATTCCCGCCCTTGTAACGGGCAAAAAACGTCCGGTTAGCTCACCTGCAGAAGCTGCGGCCACCTTGCAAGGACACCAACAACGTCAAGGAAGCCATTTTAGGCATGCAGTTTTCTGCAGCGAACGGAATTTCTCGCTTAGCTCCATAAAAGCTAGCCATTCCAGGCTTCCTCTGCGAAGCAGCTAAGTCGGCACATCTCTTCGCGCTCCCGTGACACGCGTCCTTTATTCCGCGTATAGTGTACGCGACCCGGGAAAAGATCAAGTACGTTAAGCTCTCGCTGCTACTTTTCAGCGCGCCGTCCGCGAGTGACTTTCAGAGGCGATGCCAAGTCATACAGGCGGTCCTGTGCTTGCTTCCTGTGGATACATCGAATTTCTTTCAGGCTGATGACTTCAACGTAAGTTCACATCGAGGCGGGCCTATATAGATGTAAATCCGGAGCGTTAAACTTCGGCTAGAATGTTGAAGGCGAAGATGGCATTATTATAGGAGGGATACATTATCATAAGATGATCTACGTGTATTCCGAATGTATCCTAGACGCATGCCTGTACGTATATATCCGTGGGGGCATTGTTATAAGATGATTTACGTATGTTCCGATTCCCGAAATAGCAGCGGAATGCTTAAATGGTAATGAACACAGTTTCCGTCCTTGTTCCAGGGTGTTTCTTAAGGCCTGACCACACGCGTGGGTTGCAGCGCGTGAGCTTTGGGCTTGTTGATTCGGCTCGCGTCCTCCATCTATGGACATATATATAGAGCGTGCACATCTTCGTGTAGTCTCGCCCCCCTCCCTTCATTGAGGGAGGGCGCGGCGCCGCGTCTACACGCTACACGCTGACATGCAGCTGCAAGTACGTGAGGCCAGGCCTTTACAGTCTTTTTGCTTCTTCTGCCATATTGGTTCCTTAATAAATACATATTAAGGCCAAAGCCATCGATGCATCATCAAACGCGAAAATTCACCGTCGTTGGCGGTGTCAGCGTCGACGCGAATGATGCAAGAAATCATCACGGGAAGATGCAACTGTATGACGTCATAGTGACTTCACGAATCACCAATCGTGACGTCAGAAGATGGAATGTCACGTGATTACGTCATCCACTGTGTCGTCGCTTGGTGAGAAAGTTGTGCCGATCGCGGGGGCACAGTGCAGAACTCCTCCTGTCCAGGGGGAAGTGCAAGAGCACGTTTGGGGAACACGAGGCTCTCGGAAAGGAGGGAGGAGGATCAGTAAGTACATCGACCGAGAAGGAGTGCATGGCTTCCGTCTTCGGGTCATTTTAGGGACCCTGCAAGTCTTTTTCTACCGTCATATTTGTCCTTTATCATTATACAACTTTGATCGCAACAATCCTTTGTGTTCCTTTTTCTTACCTCACTTGCCGCTTTAATGTCGTCCTTTTCTGTGTTTGTATGAATTACTCCTTCTTGAAAAGCAGGCCCGACAACACCGAGTCCGGCTAAGAGTTGGCATTGGTATACACGAGGACGTATTGACCAGTGAGCATACGATGAACTTTCGCGGGAAAAACAAATTGGGATTTTAGCTAGACAGCCTTTTTGATCGTCGTACCAAGCAATTCGAAAAGAGCAAATGCTTGTTAAATGTGTCCGTTCTAATAGCACTGAGGCATTCAGATAGATCGTACTGAGGTATAGAGATAAATAATAAGTTGAGAGAAAGGCAGGAAAGTCAACCAGAGTTGTAGCATCCGGTTACCTACCCCGCATTAAGAGAGAGGAAAAATAGGAAGTTGAACAGAAAAGTGAAGAGAAAAGAAGGCGCCCGAAAACAAAAAAAAAGCAAGCAAGTGCGGGAGTCCTAAGGCCTATTCAATAGGCCGCTGCCACGCAAAAAGGTCAATAAAGCCTTGACTAATTTTCTGTCCGAAGACAGATCGCGTCGGCATTCGAGAACTGACTGTTCTGCTGAGGGTCTGTCGTCAAGACAGGCTAACGCAGCAGCTAGCGGCAGTCTGTGCAAGCTCTAGCGAGGGCAGTGACAAAGAATGTGCATACATCGTTTCAACACTGACACAATGATCGCAAGCAGCACCGAGGCATATTGAACATGACACCGAGAATTCTTGTTAGAATTTTTCGGAGCTGAAACCTGGACACTGTGCCTCTGAAAAGCAAAACTATGCGTAACTTCGACCTTTTTGTAAACGCTTTTTTTTGTATAGCGAATTGAAACCACCTTTACATTCGTGGATTGTACATCGTTCCATATGTACAAAACCAATCTCTTTCTTGGCCAATCCTGTGTGTTGCAAACATTTATGTATTTTCTCCATGGGACCAACTATATACTAGCCCGGTAGGCTATTACTTCAACTATTATGTACGTATATTCTGTATGCAGGTCTTAATAAACTCATTTCGATATGATTTGATTTGAAGGGCGTTAACAGACGCCACTCATTTAGGTGCTCGTTTTAGTTGAAGTTCAACTACAGGCGGTCAGTGAGCTATACGTCACCGCCCTGCTTAAGACTGTGCCCTTCGATACAGCGTGCGGAATCATACTGACTTGCTAAGGACAAAGTCATGGGCGTAATACCCTTCGTGACGGAATGGTGAAACTCCACACTGGGAGGCGGAATTGACATTGACATAAGTGGTGCCACTGAACGCGACGTTTGTATTTATAGAAAAGTTGAGTCCTGGAGTATGCACGAACTCAGGTGGGGTAATCTTCCGACAAGGGAGATGACCACCATTGGGGTCAGGTGACGCCCTTCAATGCCAATGTCGCTCACGTCTTCGGGAGAAAGAAGCGAGCTTGCGCATTTTAGTCAATTTAGCCCTCACGAGCAAGAGGCTGTTATGGCTCGTTATCGAGAATATGGCATCTGCACATACATTTATGGGAGTGATGGTCAGCACCACGTTTGTAGCCATGGTGGCACGTGTGGAACACTCTTTTCGAGGTCACCCCACAGAACACATGAACCATAGCGGTCGCTATGCGGGCCTTTATTCGTGCGATGTCATCGACTTAAGGAACAAAAAAAAAAAACACATTCATGATGGTAAAGCACGTGGGTCATGTGTCGTGCCTAGAGGGGTGAAAAAACACAGCGCATATTATATCAGGCTTCCGTGCATTACTTGAACACTTACGTACGACCTAAAAATATGACCGTTTTTTTGAAAACCGAACGTGCTGTCTTCTCACCCACAACTCGGCAAAAAGAGATGTAGGTAAATATTTCTTTGATGCATTGCGTAGAATTCAATGTTGCAGTGCAGTTGAGTAGCCAGGAATAATGTATGTTGCAGCTATAATCAAGCAATAATATTATGCTTAAAAATATGGTCGGTCAAATCTATAAGTTTGAATTTTATTTAGAAAATGTCTGTCGAATTCGCAGAACGTGGCTCCGGTGTTTTACACCACAACCACCGTAGTCACGCGCAACGTAGAAGTGCACGCACCATTTTCTCTTATGTGGTAGGAAGGATGCTGAAGCCGCCTTTGTTGTAGCTCTTAATTGCAGTACACTACATCGAAACCTTTCAGGGAGGAGGGGGCGGAGTGCCATGGATAGTTTAATCCTCACGCAACTCCGGAGATTTCGCAATTTTGCATGTGTATATAAAGACACATGCATACTAAAATTAACACACTTATAAACGCCCCCCTCCACCCCCCCCCCCTCTGCCTTACTTTGGAGTGGGGAAACCATTTTCGTACGCTTGTGCGAAATCTTCATCGATGAGCCGTGCTCGCTACAAGAGCTAGAGAAGCATAATATTTTTCCGTCAACATGTCTCCTCCGCTCAATGTTCTGCTCTTTCATTCAAATAATCCCTCTCTATAAGCTCTAAGCCGTGCTCTCTTATTCAGCTGCAGAAGATTGTGCCATATTTTGTTGATCACGTATCCACTCGTCCCTCCGGTATTGCAATAGCGATCGAGCAAAACGTTTTCTGTTCTACGGAGGGATTGTCCCACTGAAGTTCAGAAATGTTGCCGAGGTGAAAAGGGGCAGTCGCTAGCTTCGGCAACTGCGCTTTTGTTTTGCGTTACCTTTGAGTGGTGAGTGCGTGGTTGTTCTATAAAATACCGTAGCAATTACCTTCTCATCCTGTTACAGAGGACGACATTACGTTCTAATAGGCCCGCACAGGAAGAGGACTCTTTTAGTTCATCTCATACGATCGTTTAATGTAGCGGAAAGGGTCTTTAGTCCATTTGACTTCCCGTGTCATTGACACTCGTGAAGCTGAGGGGCACGAAAAAGCTCCATGTATATTAAAGGAAATTGAGCTGCATGCCACATGCACAATCATTTGCGTTCACTAGAAAAGCCTCGAAACGTTCGTACCGTTCCGCGTTCTCCAAGACAGCCGAAGCATGGATCGCGCGCTGTCGAAAGTTCTGATCGTGACCCTGGCCTTCTTGGCGCGGCAAGGGAAAGTGCTTGGCGAAAAGCAGATCACTTACCCAGAAGTTCGAAGCGATCTGCAAAAGTACCAGGATGTCAGCAAGGTAAATCCCATTGCATCTTTCACATTATGCATCTGATACACGCAGAGTACGCCGCCCAATGCATCATGTCATATTTTTTTATAAAACTTCTTTTCAATCACGTGTATTTTCAAATATTAGAACTGAATTTTTTACAATTTTTTGCGCGTATGTAAGTATGCCTCTTGCTCTAAATATTTTATCCACGCAGTCGCTATCTTTAGCATAGGTAATAGGAAACACCAGTTTTCGAACAAGCACTAATCCGTAATATAATCGGATAGGCTTCAGCGTGATTTAGACGAAGACCAAAGAGACATACAGAACACTCACGAGCGTGTGTGTTTGTGTGTCTCCTTGATCTTCGTCTAAATCACGCTGAAGCCTATGTACCGACTCGCCGAAATCAAAGTGCAACCATAATATTGCTTTAAAAAGGAAAGGTAAATCTTTGGCACTCCTATACTCATGCAACCTTTGCGTGGCCACGCAGAGCGCATGAACAGATGACACTAAGTGGTCAATGCCACTGAATGTGCTCAGAATTGTACACAAACTACTCAATGAGCGGGCCTGGCTGAGCCTCCTGAAAGTAGACCAGGCACTTGCAGGCCAGATACACGCAGGTTGAAATAACGTGTTCCCACAGACCGACAGGCTGTGGAAGTTTTCGGATGGGAATCAGAATTTTCTGAAGCTTGGGAGTCGCTTGAAAATAAGAAATAGTATTAAAATTGAGCGACAAATTGAATGAGAGGTATATGATTACAATACCTTGTTTATATGGCTGCAGTACAATGCTACCATATTTGATAAATGTTTAACCTAAATAATGGCCCAGTACTCATCAATAATTGACACAAGCGCTCTTAAGATTAATCGAAAAAGGAAACAAAATAGCAGGACTAAAGTTACGCACCTTGCCGTGTGCATACTAATTGTTTATGTGTTATCTATAGCCAAGAGGCTGATATAGTTTGCCACTCAGCTTCACGCCACTGCTGCTTACGAGTAAGCAAGGGCTTGTCTTCAGAAAAACTGAAGAATAGGTAACATATTGTGCGATGGCTTGACATTTGTGGCAGGCATGCAGTGTGCAAATGCTCATGGATGACTATGCATTTGCCAAGAATAATGCACCGGCAGTTAGCGAATCCTCCAGTCTTGAATACGTGACGATTACTTGGTTTCAGACTGCGTTAGCATTTTACACTAAACACTTCAGGAAGTGCCATGAGGTTTTCTTTTTCAGGTTTTGTTTGTTATTACGAATGTTGTGAAAACAACATATATGCGTGCGCTACTTCGTCACAGCGATAAAGGTCTCGTATGAGAAGCTATGTAAGCAGGCAAGCAGTCTGGCAATCTTCCACTAAACTCCACTCGACGCCCACAGAACCTCGATTCATTACTTCAATTACAGCTGCCATCAAAGTCTTCGCGACGGGACGCTACAATGCTGTATCGGTTGTGGATCGGCGTTGCCTTCACCGATTTATTAAGTCATGGCATTGGTGTGGCTGACTCCCACAACTGTGATAACTGCCATTGCGTAGAAACTCTCGACCATGTCCTGTGGCATTGTCCAGACTTTGAAGAAGATCGCCGGACTCTCCTGTGTGCCTTAAGGAGGCTGGATGATTGACCCTTTACTCTGGAGAAGAACTTGGGAGCGTGGCCTTGACGTACGTACTTCAGCCCAGAAAGCCACAGGAGCCCTCCTACAACTCTTCAGGGCAACATCACTGTACGACCGCCTGTGAAACTTGAACTGTGTGTGTGGTGTGTGTGTTATGTGCAATGTCTGTCTCTTTCTCTTCCTTTCTTTTTCTCTCTTTCATTTCCTCCCTCATTACCCTCTCTCCCGTGTAGGGTAGCAAACTAGACTTAGTCTAGTTAACTTCCCTACCTTTCTGACATTTTTTTTCGCTCTCTCTCTCTCTCTCTTGGTAATCGTGTCGAAAATTGTAATGTATAGCTTTTGAGCAATGCTAAAAAATACCTTACAAAATTGCCGCAGTCTTGATTGTTCAAGCCTACTGTACATACAGATTCACTGCAAACTCAGTGAATTTGTTAAATAAATAGCCCCAAGAATGTCTATTTTACCACTGTATTTATAAAAGTGCCACAAAAGCAAACATACATATCAATCATTAAGGCACGCATACATCACGGGTGATTTTTCCTAAGCACAACTGTGCTGCTGACGACGCCTAGAAATATGATGAACGCATCAGTGAAACTGAGATCAACCTATCAGAATTTATTTAAAGGGACACTAAAGAGGAATAATGACTTGGTTTAGATTTACAAACTGCCCTCTGAGACCTTTATAATGCTGTATGTTTCACTGTGTAACAAGTACATTTTTGGCGGAAAGAATCAAGGCTGAACTTTCATTTGTAAATTTAGTTCCAAAACCTCCATGTGTGACGTAAAAATTAAAAAAAAAGTATTTTGGCTATTTTCGAGGCATCGGCTCAATGAAATTTTCTGAAACATCAAATGCTAAGTCTATGGCATCAACAAATGAGAATTGTACTTCGTTTTTGCCGTTTAGAAACTACGTAATATCCAGTAGACGGCTCTGAATTCTATGACGTCATGTTGTTTGGTGCGGGAATCTCAATGCGGCGTCGCCACCAGCATTTTCTTTTCGCGCGTTTTCTCATTTACGAAGTGTCATGTCGCGGTAAGAGTGCTGTTTACGGGATTGTGGAATTGTACTTTACTAATACGCAAAAAAATGGTTTTGCTCTTTAGGGTCTCTTTAAGCTCAGTGACACATTTAACAGATAGCGTACACTACTGGATACATTAGAAATCTACGGCTAGCCGATTTGGGTGATTGTGTTGAGCTGATGCTGCTTCCGGAATAAGTGCCAACTATATAATCGCTTAATTACTTCAATCAAGCGAAGCGGGATGACTTCGCCAACTTGTTTCACTATTACATAAACAAAAAATGCGATCAATCGTATACATAAAAGTGTAACATTAACGAAAATTAGGTGTTTCTTATTCCGCTCCCGTAATAGCTATATAACAAAGCTGACAATATTGTTGAATGAATGGATGACTGGAGTAGAAGGGTTGGTACATTGTTGCTCCAGTGCTTTCGATTGCTTCTGCCCAGTGCTACCCGGATGTTGGAGAATGGATCTGCTTGTTCAGGAACTATTACGAAGATCCAGATTTCGGAGGCAATGCCAACTGCCTCAGTTTTAAGAGATTCGGTGCTTACCAAAATTTCACCACGAACGTCGTGTTTACTTTCGGGGAGCACGGAAAAGCGAACACGTGAGCGTCTTCGTTTTTTTTTTCTGCGAAATGAACACCACACTATAACGGGGTTGACTCGATGATAACTAGAGTGATTGATATAAATTGAAATATTTGTTTATCTAATTAGAAGCCTTTCAAGCGCGAACTATTATGCATTGTGTGCGAATCAGTCAAATTCCCATACTATAACTCAGAGGCACTCAATATATTACAATCCAAGAAAAAAAATGACGTAATGTACTGTTTTGTGTAAGATTGCGCAATAATAGTACTTATGATGAAAAAAGTGTGTCCTTTTTCTGCTTTCCTTCATGTTGCGTTTCGCCATAGAAAGAATGAAATTATAGCCTCTAAATGTATTTGCAAATAGTTTCTAGTTTCATTCACTTCAAGGAAACAAAAGTAACACCCTTCATTTGGTTGTGGAGTGCGGAAAGTTGAACACAGTAGTGCTTTCGATAAAGTGGTCGGCTACACTCATACGCAGCACACACTGAGTTAAGGTGCGAACATATTGATCATGCTGAAGTTTAAATTCATCCAATGACCAATGTACCTTGCTGTGATTTGGCCACAAGTTGACACAGCTCTAGCACAATTAGGTTGCATGCACGAACGTAGCCACTGCCAGCTCAAGAGGACAATGTAAAGATATGGCGTGGATGTGAAGGCAGAAAGCCGCACGCAGTGACTTGGCAACGCCCCGTTACGCAACACATGGCAGTATATATAGTTTACGAATATGGTCCTACAGATCATTTGTGTCTCCAAACAAACAGCATCAAGGCCATCGTGCATGCGCGAGAATGAAACAGCGTGTGGCTTTCGCGTTGCAAACACTATTGCTCAATTCAGCATGAGCCTCAACGTCTGTCTAGAATGATGACCAGAAACTTTTTGTTGAACATGGCTTCACACCCTGAAGTGACGGCTTCCAGCGAATTCAAATCAAGCTGACCTGATTTCTTAGCTATGGATGACGTTAATGAAAAAAACAAATGCTCGCATAGGCTCTCGCTTTCTCAGAAGCCACGCATACAACTAAGATTGGTCGAAAGATAGCCTGTGTTATTTTTCCAGCAGTTGTGGATTTCCTAGCTCGTAGCCTAAGACAGCTACGGTGGCTATAGAATTAGGATCGTTCTAGCTGATGACGGCAAGAACGTGGGCTCACAGGATAGACGGAGGTTACCAGCCAGTTCATTACCACTACGTGTTGGAAACAAAAATATTAGAGAACACGTGCACGACAGATACTTTTCTGTGAAAGCTTCTAATTATTATGCATATTAGGTTGTCTTTTTAGTATGGTGGCCTTTCAGGCGCAAGACTCTATTCGAAAACGCCTATCTCCCCTTGATCTAAGGTCAGCGCATGTGAATCAGTTTGGGTCCCCAATGTCCGAAACTCCCTGTGTGGTAAAAAAAAAAAAATAGCATACACTTGACAAGCTTAGCACAAACACATCCTCAACATCTCAAACGTGTGAACTAGAAACACACAAAATAGGAATGACTGCTAACTGAGAGCGACATGAACAAAACTGAAGTTTTAGTGCATTTCTTACTATTTCTTTCTAGGATTTCGTGATTCAACATAAACAATAATTAAAAAGTACAGAAAACATAATGAAGCACCATTTGTTACTACAGTAATCACAAAATACTAATCAATTTATTTTTTATATTTACTTTATTACGATGTAATTTTTTTACAAGTTAACCATGAAGTTTGTTTGCGCGTGCCTGAAATCAGTGTACAGTACGGCAATACGGTGTAGGCAGAGAAACGATGGACTGCAGAGATAGAATGCATAGATGTGCTCCTAATCAGGGTTATCGTTTTAAAAATGTTTCCCAGCAGAGCTGGATGGGACTAGAGTTCATGTTCACCGGAAAACCCAAACTTAGAAACTGTTGACCGTTGCTGAGCTTGTTGATTCTGCAAGGCACCGTCAACCTTTCGTTAATCGATTTATTACAGCACCGGCAAATTCCAGTTGACATCATCGCCGTGTTACCAAGGAAGAGACATACAAAGCTTCACTCCCGACAGTCGTAAGCATTGCTGAGGATTACCGAGATATAGCATTCTATAGGACGCTGCACTTACTATTGAAGCCGTGGGCACTGATGGTGGTGGACGCAAATAAAGCTTAAAATGCACGATTAGGCTTATCTCGTCATAGCCTGAACGGTCTTTTTAAGCGAAATTAGATGATAATGAAGACAAGGACTGCTAATGGTCTGATAATTTCTAAACACATTTCTAGTTAACTTTGTCGGCGACAAAGGTGGAACTGATTTGCAGGAGCAAATTATGTATTGCTATATATGTAACGTCTAACCTTGTCAACTATCTTACCTTCAACTTTTATATTTTCATTATAACCTTGTTGTTGAGATACCCATGAATGTAATCAGGCCTCCATCACAGAACTTTTATCGTTTTCACCAGTACTCCTAGGTACCTTGCCCGTAGTGACTGCTGACTATAGTAGCGCCTTTATAACCTAAACATGCAGTGGTTGCTCTTTGCATTTATGAATGACATTTTTCATCGTGGTTCAGGGCATTTACTACCTGTTAAATGGAAGCGTTTGCTACATCTCTAAACGCATGATTTGATACATTAAAAACGATGTAAGTCTGTTGGTACACACGACAAAACTTAACACATGAAAGAAGTACATGCAATTATTAAATGAATAATTGGCCTGAGCTTATTACATAGCCGCAAGCATAAGGACGTGTATTGCACAGTTATAACAAATTTAATTGCTGAAAAAATTCTGTGCTTAAAAGTAACACGCCTAATAGAGCAACATGTGTCGCTATGAATATGGACCACAACATAGGCATGCAGAGAGTTCTTCACCGAAATTGGAGGGTTGGGCAAGTGTTACTGCAGAACACACCCTCCCCTGTTTATGAACCCCCCCTCCTCAAAGATGAAAAACGAGCCCAAAAGTGGGAGAAAACAATAAATGAAGCGATGGCGTCCTTCTCACAACCTGGCCCACGTCCCACCATTCCGATGGTAAACGTCGGAATGGTTCTTTGAATTTCCCACCAAGGGTCATCGGTCGCCACTCAAAGAACACGCTCAGCCATAATCCTGCGCAAAGAAACTGCTGCGAATGGACTGAGTAGGGCAGATATGGCGGCCCCCTTCAAATGACTTAAATGAATAATGGTTTCCAGCCCTGCCTCCCTCCTGAATAGCGGATTTGAAACATAGCGTTTATTACGCCGTAAAGGGTATCTATAGTTCGGTAGGCACTTTCTCGAGGCTTTCTTGCTCTTTCCTTATTTTGCAGCTGACGTTCCGCTGGAAGACTTCTATGTGATTTATGTGGACTGCGCAAGTTGTGTAGTAATTCGTCACCGCTACGCTAACGATGGTGCGTATGCCCTACATTTGATGGTGTACATAAGGTGTTATAAAAGCGGAAAAGGAACGAAAGAAAGTACCAATGCAGAAGGTCTAGAAGATCAATCCCGGTGATTTACGTGCCGTAACCACGATATCGTTAGGAGGCGTGCCGTAGTATGGAATTCCGGGTAGACTTTGAGCGCACAAATGTATTTAGCGTGAACAGGCAACACAGAATAGAACAGTAGAACCATTAGCACCTTTAACACGAATGCTCCGCCACGTGTCTTGCAGCAGTTTGATTGACGCTGACACGTGCACGTACGTATGGGTTCTGTTGCCAAGATGCTAACCATACATGCCGACACACTATCCAAGCCTACCGAGGTATTATGTCGGCAAATCACCCAGCACTTCGCGGCTGGCATGAATCAAACTGGCCCTTGCCACGCATCAAAGTGTTCGTGTTAAAGGTGCTGACGGCTGTACATAGGCCTGTGGCAATCTGCCTCCACAGGAATGCGACCGGCGTGGCCGTGATTCTAGAAACCTCATAGGGTTCCTTATGTGATCACCTAATTAAGATTCCTAATTAAGATTCCTAATTAGGACTACTCAGAGGTGAAAGTTATTTTTTTGTCCTTCAATGTATTAATATCGCCCCTCCACCCTCCATTAGCTCACAAGAAAATTAGACAACGCAAACCACCGTGGAAGAATGCGAAAGGAAAGAGCTGCCAATGCGTAAACAATCAAGCGAGGGAGCATGTTATTATCATCAAGAACAACCTTTCGGCACATTTGCTTATGAACTGCAGCGCATATAGGCAAATTGTGAGGCAGGTTTTGCCAATACCACCATTCTAGGTGAAAGCAAGGAGGTGATTGAGCTAGAGATGCAACAAGCACACCTCATCAAAAAGAAAAAAAAAGAAGATATCTGTAATAAAGATAAGCCAGTGGTACTGCGTTCAGCTAAATTTGAAATTTTTTCAAGCAGTTTTTCCAACTGGCACTTGCACTGAGGGTGTCCGATTGTGCTATGTGACGGATGGTGTGTTATTGCGCATGTGTGGAATAGTGGATATATTGCGGTGGCTTCGCAAAAAGAAAGTTGGTTTCGAGATGGCGATTTTTCCTATCGCGCATTCTTCCCCATTGGTTTGCATCTTAAAATTTTCTTCATCATGTCCCAACTAGCCCAACAGAAATTTCACTCCATTAGCTTACTGTAGCTAATGTGGTTTTACCCTGACTACATGATAAGAGGTACCTAATCCAGTTTTGCACGGCCTACGTGCTAGTTTACCTGCAACAATGCTGTGATGTCATCCGATGACGACATAATGCGACGTTATATCATGTGACATAACAATGACGTAATGGTGACACCGTAGAGACGTCACATCTTTAGGTGGCCTGTGGCATTATGATGCAGTAATTGGTGACGTTATCATGGGATACTGAATTTCTAGCAGTGCCGTGGGACGCCGGCAGTGAATCTTCGCGGTTATTGAAGCACATAAGGTTTTCGCCTTAATTAGCCTTTCGGATAAACAGCCGAGCAACTTAATCAATAGGACATCGCCACCACTCCCTACTAAAATTGGAATAACTTGGCTGTTTAACTTGAGCGATGGTTATAACTGGCCAATTTTTAATGCACTGCTGTTCGATCCCATTAGAACTTCATCGAAGCTCTCTACGTAAAAAAATATAGAAAAAGTATGCATCATGATCGATATAGATATACGAAGAGATGATAACTCTATGAAAAGACATGATAAACGATTACACGTGTTATATAAGACCTGGTTATACCTCAATTTCTGCGCACTTCAAGGTGTAGAATTATAAACGAGTGCCAGTGTAGATATGCATGGCAGCTTACTCTAACAAAGACTTTGTATTGAGCTGTCTTGACTGAGAAGCAGCTCATAAGTCGAAAAATGATACGCACAGGCTTTTGTATACAGTGCATAGGTTTCAATTTTTTTCGCTTTTCTTTTGCTTTCGAACTTTCCAGGCTACGGATGTTCCTTGTGGCGACGCAAGGCACTCTCAGTGAACCGAACGATTGCTGCGAGTTCATCTACGACGAGAACTGTGGCTCAACGCCGAAGTACTCGATCTACGAGCAGTCGTGCGATTTCTAGCTGACCATGCGGTAGGCCTTCAACCATAAGTATAGCTCAATGACGCGTGGTAAATCCTTAGATTAGTAAATACACGAAGAAACGAATGAATACAAGGGAGGTTAGGCGCATGTTACTACAGTCTATCTGGTCACTCTGTACTGGCGAAAGGAGGCAGCGGAAGTAATGATACTGTGATGTTCTACCAAATATAATGAATGGATAAATAAATAAATAAATACCAAAAAGCCGCTTTTCCAAGTTTGTCATTAAGCTTAATAGTCAGTAGGGAGCTGAGCAACGCCCTCAACGCCTTCCGCATTGAGGGCGGCCTCGGCTCCACCAAAGCCCGAGAACTCGGTATTTTCCCCCCAAAAGGCGATTGCAAAGTCTGTTCAAGACTTTAGAGGGTCTTCTATGAACGAACAACGCCTTCCGCATTGAGGCGCATCGGCTCCACCAAAGCCCGAGAACTCGGTATTTTCCCCCCAAAAGGCGATTGCAAAGTCTGTTCAAGACTTTAGAGGGTCTTCTATGAACGAATATAGCCCGAATGCAAGCAGGTGACACACCACTGAGGTACAGACGTGTTCCTTATATTTTGGAGACGTCATACTGCAGTGCCATGGGGTCCTTCAAGATGCATATTGCACGTGCTACATATATACCCTGCATGTTCTGCATTCAAAGCCAGTAGAAGCTGAGGAGCAGCCGGCGCTGATCCCCGAGCCAAGATATCCTTATACGATGTCAACAACAGACATGTCTTCTTCGTTGATTCTCGCAACTTTTGTGTGCATATAACGTTTTCAGTCATTAAGGTTCAATTAATTTATGCTACTCCTTAAATGTGCTCATGCACTATACATGAACACGAATTAATAAAGCACGCGCGTATTTCGCTTAATGTTCAAGGTACAAGATTTGGCACTCACTTTCGCGCTGTTTCTCAATTTCGCGCATTGATTACTTTTCGAGCGCAGCTCTTAAGGCCAGACCACACGGACACGTCACAGCGCGTCAGCGTGGATATTTTTTGTCGCGGTGTCGTGCCCTCTCTCTGTAGGGGGCGCGTGGCTGCAGTTTCTCTCTCCTTGGCATAGAAATTCGCAGAAAGGATTCTTCCAAGCATATCTCGTGTAGCCGTACTTGAGCAGCCTTTCGCTTTTTTTTTTCTGTCCATTGCTCCATTTACCTTGTAACCCTGCTGCTTCCACCTTCGTCTGGTCTCTCTCGATCGCCGCTGTTGCGCTGTGTCGGCATTTATCAACTTTGCGGAAACAAGACGTGCCATGCTCACTCTCTTTAACATTGGCTTCTGTAGTTTTCTCGAAGAACCTAAGCTCTCAGCAGCGCAATGGGCTGGCTTTTGTGTCGTCGTGGCCTTTTGCTTCTTGTCGCTTTGAGAATTGGCCTTGGTTTCCCTCGATCGTTCACTTGGACGCAGGGCAATGAGGACCTTACAACGTCTGAGTCTGCCAGCCCTGGCTTGAACGCATCCTCAACATCTAGTGGGTGGCCCATTGGGTCTACAAAGTCTTCTACCTTTTCAATCACGGGAATACCTTCCACCTCGAACACCGGAGTAGGTGTCTTGACAACAGGTTCGTGGGTATTGCACGCTGATGACAGTTCTGCAAGCGTGGGCCATGTCCTTGTAAGTAGAGGTTGTTCTGCGCAGGCGCCTTCGATGGTGTTACTTCAGTCGAAGTCAAACGTGTTGGAATAACTTCGTGGGTCACGTTATCAAAGGCCCGCTTCAGATTCAAAGCGAGCACGTTAGGGGATTGGCCAGGAACTGGGTAGCTCTAACAAAATACTTTCATTTCGTTAGATTACGTCTTCTCAAATAATCGGAGGTATCTAGCCACGTCACATTGGTCGCCATCCATCATTTTTTGTCATGATATTTCAATTCATTATTTTCTCGAGCATTTTGTAGGCGTCAATTCTACAACATAGACGGTAAATACTTACCGTGGTGCAGGAAGACACTTACACTACTTGTCAAACAGTTTTTAAGATCTTGAATGTAAACATTTGACAGAAGTTTGTCCGGTTGGGTCGCCGAACATGCTGAGATGTTGGATCACCGGACAAATTTGGAAGCGACGGCCATCCTGGAAAGCGAGCCAAACTGGAGGAGATGGGTATATGCTCGAGCTGTGGCACATACAGAGGACAGCCCATAACATTAACCGCTCTTTCGGAACCCTTCCTCCAGTGTATACACATAAACTGCGCTCCAAGGCACAACGAGAGAGAAAGAGGGGAGGTCATTATCCGCCCCACGAGTGCTTTGAAGACGCTACTGCTACGTAGTCTCCACAATCACACCTGAGGATGGAACCAAGTTGGTTTCGAAACATCGGGTTTCTTCAAAACTCTTGGTGGGAGTTTAAATCATCTCCCAGTTTTTAAGATCCCTTGGAATAGAGCCCGTATGAACAACGAAGATGTGTCCAACGGACGCCCACAATATGAATATGCATCGTTTGTGTAGTAGATGAACTGTATGCATCTTAAGTTTGTACGCGTTAAATGCCTCTGGCACGCTGAATTCAGACGGCAAAAAAAGCTTTTTATAAACGAAGTATTGTGGTATTTTAAGTGCAGCCTATTAAAGCCGTTGATCAACGCGTAACTCTAATCGCGGGTAGTTTTGTACCAGCTATTAGTCTTGTTGATTAGCTCAATGTGTTGTTTTTGTCTCTCCATTAGATTATTGTCGCTCAAGGAGAGCAGTGTTGCAATAAGTGGCACTTCACGCAAAAGACTTGACATGTCATTCATCTGTTGTTCAGCAATAAACCCTTCGCGGCCGCTGGCGAATACTGCCGCCATGGGGTTTTCTAACAATATGGCGACTGTACTCGTCACATGTCGAACCTCGGTGGCCTGCCAGCACCCACGAGTGGCACGAACCGGCAACTACGGGCTTACAGGCTGCCATTTTTTTAAAATGCTCGAGCTTTAAATATGTTTAAATAGGGGAACCGTGCAGGATCGTGAAGCTCTTTCAATAAGAGTCAGCCAAACCACGCAGATGATAAGTGTATGAGCGTTGTTGGACGCTGTGAAACACGAGAGAATATGTATGCCGGAGCAGTTTTAAACACAGCAAGAGCCGCGGACATCCGCGAACACTTTCTGGGCCAAGTGGTTCTCCTCGAGTCACATTGAGAAGTCGGATTACGCTGCCGAGAAAGGCCCACCATTATTGCGTCGATGGCGCTCAAATTCTTTACTCGCAGATTTTGAGTGTAGCATTCTTCACTCTCACAGAATAATGTAGCTGTATCATTCCAGCCTAAATAACTATGTGTCATCTGGGGTTCCTAGCTTGCAGCAGTAAATATTCTTTTGTTATTTCTGGTTTTTATTTTTTTATTTGTGAATATCTAGTGTTAGCAATTTCAATAAATTCCATATAGACCGCCAAGTCATCATTCTTTTTGCTATTTTTCTTCGTGTTTACGTTTTAATTAATTCTACTTTCACCACATGTTGTAAATTTTTATTCAAATAGATAGTTATGTAAGCCGGCCAAGTCAGTTGATAGCATTCGCGCCATTTTACATTTTAGTTTACATGCCTATATGCGTTTACAAATGAGTAAATCACTCGATAGTCATCTCTAGTGGTGTGCCGTATTTTCTTAACAATATTCGTGAACCAACTATAGGCCACTGTAGTGAGTAAATGTTATTCAGCGAAGCACATGGGCGTGCATGAATATAATCCCCGGGGTACAGCGGCGTGTGGGTTCCTCGAGTTAGACTTTGCCGGGTCCGCCGGAGACAGCCTTCTCCAACAGCGCAGGGCATGAAGGGTTGTACATGTAAAACTTGGGAGCACCACCGCAGAAGGCATCAAAGATGAAGTCACAGTAGTCCGTACTTCCCTTGGTTACATGTGTCGCAGGAAGCCACATCGTGCAACCGTATCCTGCGGCGAAATCGTGCGAAACAAGTGGAAAGTCCTGTTTCAAAAGACTGTATAGGACTGGGCGTGTTGGTACATGATTATAAGTACAAATCAGCGCAACCGTCAGGAGGGGACAGAAGAGAGATCACAGAGCGCTTTACTTTCAACAATTTACTTCACGTGCGGAACGCAATGATGTAGCCAGAACACATCACGTGGACAAACCTAAGTACATATTCTCTTTGTAAGTTAGCGTGACAGAAATCGTTCGAAGTTCAGCACTCTGTGTCCTCTCTTTTGTTCACTCCTGTCATTTGCATTCATTTGTATTCACAATCCTCTCTTAAAAAGGCAGACATTTGTCTAGCGAAAAAAGAGAAGAAATTAGGTTGACGCACTAAGAGGGACTTTAAAAGCCATCTAGAGAATGTTGTCAGCATCTGTGATGCAATTGTGATAGCCGCAGACAGCTGTTCTTTTAAGTTAGGAAAGAAAAAAAAACTGACTTGGGCAGTAGTTGCTGCCGGAACGATGAACAGTTGTTGCTCTTCATAAACAATGGTGGTTAAACTTATCGAGGTTGTGTAAACTTGCCCCGGTTCACTTTGCTTAGCGCCAGCAGAGTATTGACAAAGCCCATGTCCCATGAAAATGCACTGTTTAAAGTCAGCTCCCCGTATTCACGAATTTATGCATCGCTGACAATATGCGTCTACAGACGGATGGATATAACGCCCTGTTGATTGCGAGGTCTGTTAAGTTTCGAGCGTCTAGAGATACACTGTGGTTTGTTTTAACACAGTGTGCTGTTTTCGGTGGTACTGTAGTGCAAACTGTATTGTTTACAGTGGTGTAACAGCTGATAACGCATGGGCACCGCCAATGGCAAAAAAAATCCCGTAACTGTTTGGCAATACTCTATGAGTTGCACTAAGCGATAACGTATAACTCAAATACAACAGTCCCAGCTGAATGTTTTGTTAAAGAAGACCGTGTATTAGACAACTTTGTAGATGTTAAGGAGCCGTTCGAACTCTGTTCGAACTCGGGTAAACAGCGGTGACATATATGCAAGCCGAATCAAAGAGCACAATATTCACTCTAAAAGACAGGGCGTGAAAACACAGACGCAAGAAATATGAAATAAAATATCTTATCAGTTGTGTTTCACGTTGACACCCATGCATGTCATGCAGATTGACCAGTTCGCACATTGTAGGTACATGCGCAGATAACTTTTTCTACCTTCTTTCTTTTCCGCCATTGTGCGCATGTTCAGCAGGCATTTGTGATGCCCTGACCATCTTGTTCCTTGTGTCCGTGCTTACGCGCCCTTTTCAGCCATCTGCTATTTTGAACGACATCCACCTGCAGCGTAGACTGTGGTCCTTCCCCGCACGCAGTGCCTAAATATTCTAGAGTGATGAACTGTCGAGAAGCTGAGAAGCGTGGCACCGACGCGAGGAAAATCCACTGGTACAATGTTCCGGGAATGCTATACATACAAAGGAAGTGATGAACTTGTTTTTTGCAACGGCCATTGTAAAAAAGCTCAAGCAAAATATTTCTTCTGAAGAGCTGCTTGCCACACGATTAGAGGCCAAGTTTAGAGTACGGAGAACGCGCAAATGACTCTTGTTTGTAGGCAGGTGTGGTCCCTTATAAACAAATGAAGTGACTTTAGCCTCATCTATTGAAAATTGAGTTTACGCACACTATATAGAAAAGTAGCAGTATTAATTTGAGCGAGTCGGTGCATTGCCTAGCGAGAGATTTGTGGCGTGAACGGAAAAAGAAAACATGGCTCGCCTAGACATTGATTTTTACTTGTTTTTACTTAATATTACCCATCAAGCATGCGAGCAAATACGGTATGATTACTCAATGCGCTGCTTGCTACTAACATCAATAGTTGGGCTTACCGTTACGGGCGTAACGATGGCGTCCGATGTAGCAGGTTTCGCAGTCCACATAGATGGCATGATGGTCCCAAACCATCGCCTCTGAAAATGGATGAAGAGTATTTCCACGTATGAGCTTTATTTGAGCCCGTGATCATTTTTAAGCCGGTTACTCCTTTAGTCGGGCCATCCCTCAGCAGGCAGATTCGCTCTTTTTAGGCGTGCCAAGCACCGAGCTGGGCAGATTTCCCCGCTTCTCTTTAATTTTCTATCTCTTTATTTTTTTTTTCTTTTCTAGGTCTTTGTTCTTTATTTTTATTTATTTTTATTTTTACTTTCCCTCCTACTGTTTTCTCGCCTTTTGTCACTTGCTTTATTTTAATTTTCATACATCGTTTGTGTTGTCGTGTTTTCATACCAGTAATGTCCCCACTTAATAACATCACCAAGACGCTCGAAGAACAGGAGTAGACTGTACTGGAACAACAGAGGAGTGTGCCACGATCAATAGGTGAACAAGAACAAGAATGAGTGCCCAGAACGGCCACATTACCAGTGAACAGAAAGTGATAACACATAATAATGTATGGTATAGCGCGGACAAGGGACGTGGACAAGAGGAAGCAAATTCAAGAAAACACAGCGCTAACTTTCAACAGTAGAAGAGGCCACCGTGACGAATTGGGCGTGGACTAAGCATTCTCAATCACAGCATAAGGCAGACTATATATGGCAATATCTGCCCAAACGTCTACGCCGCCATAATAATTCTTATGGCTTGCACTGCTCGCGTTTCCGGGCCAACTTACGTTCTTTTGCACTAAAGCTGTGCAGGTTCCTTGCCGCGTATCCTGGCGTAGAGAGAAGGGAGTAATGCACATCTCTGCAAAAAATAGCAATAAGACGGTTTACGGAGCATATACGTAATTTTGTGTTGTCTGTGAAAACGTAGCCACATCAAATAAATAAGTCACTTTGGGCTGTGGTTACTGGGTTAGTGGAAACCGTTTAGTGCGAATAGAATTTCTTCAGCCTGCATCAGGCTCGTGATTGGCGGACAGATTGGGTCAAATTTCATTACTCCTTAATAATTACCACAGGCCACCTTTTAGTTAAGCCTCAAAGAAGCCATGGGCCCTTCGAAGGAAAGACATCGATCACATACCATTCGATTCGAGTGCCCGTCTCCCGCGATTAACAAACTAATTAACTTAAGTTCCTAAGTGAACAGCGTAGTTAATGTTTTCGGCCATCTTAACATATCCACCACACAAAGAAGAATACTTAAAACAGCAGTGAGCAAAAATATACCCAATAAGATTTTGGAGATTTCCAGACACATTTAGGCATTTAGAAAGCACTAGTAGCGCGCACGGTAACTGGCCTAGTCAGGGAGAGAGGGTATACGTCGGGACGTTCAACCTCTCTCTCCCTCCCTCGAAATCACTCAATTTCGCATGGGCACATATACATAGAAACTCACGCGTGGCCAGGTATGAAGAATCGTTAATCCCTCCCCACCTTCACTCCGAAAACCATTTCTGGCCTCCGCCGAAGTGGCAGCGGCTCGCTGTCACAGAACGAGCGCTAAAAAAGAGCGCGCCGCCAAATTCTTGCGACCACGGGCGGGAGAAGCGCTGCGAGGTCAAAAGAAAAAAAAAAAGAAAGCAAACGTCCAAGGCTCCCCGGGCGCGCTCTCCCCCCGCGGAAGCGTGGCGTCGCAGACGAACCTCCTCACCCCGCATCGGCGGCCCAGCAAGCCCGCGATTTTTCTAGAACGAACGGGGCGTGGTCAAACCGAGTTGAATCATCCTCCGGGGAGGGCAGTCGAACCGTCTCGCCCTCTTCCCAGCTTTCGCCGCGTATCGCGCCGACGAAATGACGAGAAATTTCTGGAAGGTGGCGCGGAAGGTATTTAATCGAGCGGCCGAGACGAGAAATCAGGAGGAGACGGAAGTGAGCGCCAGAGCGCGTAGGGATTCCGCCATGTAGTCGGCGAAGTTTTTGGTCCGTAGGGACGAGGCCGGAGGTGAAGAGGATTTCCACCTGAGGGGTGACGACTCGGGCTACCGGCAAGAGTGTGTGTTTACCGCTATCGAGCGAAGACGCGGGGCAGCAGCTGCGTGTGTGAAGCCGACGTGTTCGGGTGAAGAAGTTTGAAGCTTGAAGAGTGGCCAATTGAAGACGGGAGGTTTCCTGGAAGAGAAACTTCGAGGGCTGCGGAACGACAACAACGCTGGACTTTGAGTGAGTGATTCTCGGAAGAGTATCACCTAGACTTTGGTTCCAAGAACTTTGGACTGAATAGGTTTTCTATCTCTTTAGTCTTTAAGTGTCTTGGTTGTTCAATGCATGCGACTGCATTGTAGTGCGTATTGTTGTCCGTGTCCGTTGTTTCAAGTGTGGCTGATTGTATTGTGTAATACGTTGATTGATTGGTTTGATTGGTGACATATTGTATGCAACTATTGCGGAGTGTGCATTTTTGAGTATTGTTTTCGATCTGCCATTATTGAGAATATAATTTGTTTGTTTATCAACTCTCGGCTCTGACTTGTTCTTTGGACCACAGCCGGCGTCCGCTGGCGCGCCAAAAAGGACCACTTCTAAATTGTCCACGCTTTCGTGGTGCGATTCGGGGGGTCGATACTTCGACCCTTGGAATTAGCCCGGCGATCGCCTCCCTAATAAACGGGACAGGTGTGACACTCGCTGCGTGCTAGTTCACGCCCCGACGGACTTGAATGAAGTTTTTGCATACCATAGCGTACACCCGTGAAAACGAAACTATAGACAAACACAGTCACAGACCATCTGCTTGTCCTTTCCCATTTGCTGGTTTTGTACGCGTGGTCAACACCTTATAGTTGCATCTTTACAAACTCGCCCTCGCTTCAGCTGTTACCAGGTTTAACTATAACTCTTGATGCCTTCGTACCCGTGCCTCTTGCTTGTCCTAACATCATTGGCAGAGCCGATAGTTTTTCTTAAGTAATTATTCTCGCGTCTTTGTTGGCTATACGTGATATTGATTGTAGAGTGTCTTATTTTTTATGCTCGGACGTATAAGCAGGCGTGACATAACTACTCATACGTAAATATTTTATAGAGAAAGGACCTTGGCTGGAGAGCACTAACATGATCATCATCATTCTATTTGAAGTTAAGGACGTCTTTAATAGTAGTGAATAGCTATAAACTCGGAGACAAGAAAATGGCCTTGCGTACCAAGTGCTACATGTAAAGTGAGATTCGCTGAAATACATTCACAGGTGTGTAGTCGTAAATAGGCAGCTCTGTTGTTTGGACAACCATGTTGTTTGTCCCTCTTGGCGATGCGACATTCAGGGGGATCGGGGACTGTAGGCTAAACAGCGGGCTCACGCTTTATGCAGCAAAATCTCTGAAGGCGAACTCGGTATTTGTGACGCAACCTTAATTAACTGTTACAAAATATTAATTAGCTCTCAAAATTGCTGAATTTAAATGAAACAGTAATTAGCCTTTAACTCAATACAGCCAGCCCTATTGCGGTGTGTCTGCATTTAACAGTCTCTATTACCATCCGCACCACCTAACTACTCTCAAGTACAATTGCATGTGTTCAATTATTTAGTAACATGCTTTAGCATTCTTTAATAAAGGTGTCACCTGGTACCCGTGTTTTGGTCTTGTTAATTGCAATGCCTTTATTCAACTTGGTTTGGGAGTCTTGAATTACTCTGAGGTATTTGGTGCTTAAAGGGGCCGTGAAAAAGGTCGCTCTTAAACGACAATACGGAAACGCCGGCACCCACACGCATTATATCGGTGCCATTTGAGGTGACGTCAGCGTAAAAAGAGTACACCCTGCGTGAATGATTATCGTGGCAAAGCTTCCGTGCTCGATAAGCTTATCGAGCCCTTGATAAGCGTCCATGCATGCAGGGCCCCTCTTCTCACGGTGACGTCTCCTTAAATGTCACCTCGTTAGTGCGTGTGGCTGCCAGCGGCATCCCACTGTCGTTTTAGGAGCGACATTTTTCGACTGCCTTAGCTTTTACACGATTTATTTAACTGTATTTAGAGCTGTAGTGGAACGCCGCTTTCTAATTTTGCTACTGCAAGTATTATCAGTGACTGGTAACCAGATGGACACATTCCGCGAATAATGAACCTGTTAATCATTCCGCTTCCAAAGGCGCCAACGCCGAATAACGCACATGGACGTGCGCGTATTCTCCACGGCATGCACACACGCACACAGCGTTTTGACGACCGCATCCACGTTGCTCCGCTGTAAAACTCTAAAAGGCACACAACGAAATTCTTTTGGAGCAAGGCAACACCTAGGCAGATGCACTGGGGAGCAAGGCGAGCTTGCTAGGAACATGCGCAGATCCTAGCATTACTTTTTCAACAACACGCTGCGCCGACGAGCGGTCACTTCTCCGGCACTCCGAATTATTTTATGGGCAATTTTACATGTGGTCGTTGTATACATTTTCTGCGCTGATTTCCACGATGACGCACCACCAACTAGTTCAGCAAGCCGGCGGTCTAATCTATATTCTCAGCATGAAGAGGTTAACGAACTGAACAAAGGCTTACATTGATCCGCATCCCGATGTCCCACACCAAGAGTATTTTGCAGGCATGGTGAAATTTTTCGGCGGAGCAATCCGCTGGAACTCCACGCAGTGTGCCGTGCCGCCGTAGAATGGATCGTACCAGTAGTTTCTGTACGCCATGTACCACTGCGGTCTCTGGGCGGTGCACTGCGCGCGTCAATGCAATTATGGCGCGACTTGAACATTATGTACGGGAGAGATTGTGTACAGATCATCTTACGTAATACCCTAGGGCGGCCCCTTCTAGGGCTGTTAAACGAACGTCCTAATATTTTTTGTGTCTCGTGAGGTAAATTGACAAGGCGAGAAATAACAAATGCACCAAACGAACCATTTTAGGGCGTATATAGCAGTGTTTAACCGTTAAAGATACAAAAGAGCAATGCGAATAGCTCAATATTGTCACACCCAAACCCATACATTAAATGGTTTACAGAAAATTGATTGATTGAGTGATTCTGTGAGGTTTAACGTCCCAAAATCACTATATGATAATGAGAGACGCCGTAGTGGAGGGCTCCGGAAATTACGACCACCTGGGGTTCTTTAACGTGCACCAAAATCTGAGCACACGGGCCTACAACATTTCCGCCTCCATTGGAAATGTAGCCGCCGCCGGCGGGATTCGATCCCGTGACTTGCGGGTCAGCAGTCGAGTACCTTAGCCACTAGACCACCGTGGTGGGATGGTCTACAGAAAATTGAGCTAGGAAACATATCAAGTGAGTGTTGCATAATGCATAGTTTGCTGCTAAAAAAACACGCTCACAAACAGAAGGCGAGTAACAACGACATGGGTGACACTTTCAAATGAGTTCATTTGTGCATGGTGTGGCATTTCCCCATTGTGGGTATGGGCCAAGATATTCTAGGCGAAAAAATAGACCAAAACAATTTATCTGTGTCAAACTATGCATTCGGTATTTCAACAAAAACAAGTTTTTCTCTGAAGGTGCAGACCCGAAAGTTATGGGTTTGATTTCGCCCGCGGCGTTTGAATTTCGATGGCAGTGAAATGCTGGAGACCCGCATGATGCGGTGTGAGTGCACGTTAAGGAACAACAGGTGGTCAGACTTGCCGGAGCCCTATACACTATTGCGTGCTACGCTACGTTCATGGATGACCAACTCGACCGATCAGCAACCCTTCTGAACTTCATAATCATATCGTGGTTTTCGCACGTACAGCCCATTGTACTCTTCTTATGGTATGTTATGGCTGTTTGCTAAGTGCGATTTGGATCTTGTCGCGTGTGCCACTCCAGCTTTCGTTCTGGCCTAATGTCAGCCCAGTGTGCACCTGTGTGCCCAGTTTTTTTTTTTGTTGCAGAGCGAAATACGATGACGTGTGTCGTCCTCAATTAAAATCAACAACGCTAACAAGACGCCCACATAGAAAAGAAACGACCCACCCGAGTGCTGACTACCAACTGCTTTATTACTTCGGTTGTCAATTCATATTTATGTCCATTGACAACAGAAGGATTAAAGAATTTGGTAGTCGGCACTCGCGTGGGTCGTTTCTTTTCTATGTGGGATGTCTTGCATGTTGGCGCTGCTAAATTTACTTCAGGAATATGTACCGACTATGCGCGAATGAAGATTTACTTGTATTCTCCACCAGTAGCCGATTTCTATGGTGTGCGGCTGCACACTCGACTCGGACACATTTTCTCTGGCTCGCATCCAGAGCAGGCTCTGCGCTGTTGCAGTCCGAGCGCGATTGCGATAGCATACAGCCAAATTAGTCAATAATTAGCACAGCGAATTCGCCAATAAAAATTAGCTAGTCATTTATTTTTTATTACGTATGCCGATAAGTGTTATGACCCAGAGAAAAGTGGGGGAGTAACTATGCTCTGTTTCACAACTCGAGGGGTCTAATGAACACACTTATAGTTTTAAAAACACGAATGAAAAAGCTGTTTTATGTCACAGTAGAGTAGCCAGAAAAAAAGAAAGTAATGGAGAAAGCTGCTGTGTTATTGCAAATATACTAGCTTTTATGCGAAGAAAGACGTGAACACCAAGGATGTTGATTTTCGCTAAAAAGAATCATGACCCGCGGACGCCCACAAGGAGTTTGTTTGGATGAGAAAGCAGATTTGGATTTTATATACACGCTTGCATTTAGTAAACGTTTAACACGTTTACTTGACGCGTAGCATATGTCAGACATATTTCAAGGTTATAATGTATGCATGTCTGATATATGTAAGGTTCTTAGACATATCCTATACATATGTCTGTCAAACCACGACAACGTTTATTTGGAACGCACTGCTTCTAATTAGCACCATTTGTAATTGAGCACCTTACTGCGTTCATCGATCGTTATTGTAAGCTTCCGTGATAGCTTAAGCATTCCGAATTTATGTAATTATAGTCTTTCCTCCGGAAGTTTGGGAACACTAAAACGTACCTCAAAATGTGTTTGCGTCTAAAAAGCTCGAAAAAGAGCCGTTATCCATTCGAAGCAAGCAAAGCTTCACGCTTACACGTCTTAGGTATGAGTAGATTTAGCGCAATATTCTGCTATGACAGTCGGTACTGTGTGATGTATACCTTCTTTTTCTGTTACGCCTCTAATTGTCTGATGGATGTTGCTGGCAGACCAGATTCTTTAGAGGCTGAATTCGACGCGGCGAGATGAACAGCTTTTATCAAGCGTTTATGCATCAAAGCGGGTCAGTCAGTGGTCGTTTAACAACAAAACTTGCTGCTGGGCAAGTTAGTTCAGACTTGCTGGGTAAATACAGTTGCGCACTGACAGCGCAAGAACACAGCCAACGTGGACGGGAGTGCTCGTCCCTGTTTGCCACGCCCTTGTATTTCTAGTGGGCAACAGTATTTACTTACCACGTCCTTGAAGAACTTTCTCGATTACCGCGATAATTTCGATGCTAACTCGAGCATTCTTCGCGTTGTCGATGAGTGAGTCCATGGCATGACTAAATGAACAAAAAAAAAAAAAAGCAGGCTGGGACGCTTACCCTGTGGGGATCATGATACCTTTCAAGGTCCTTTCGCAGTTCAGGATAATACATTCCCGCCACGAAAAGTATCTTGCAGTACAAACTGAATATGGCAATTACCGCAACGTTCATTTTAGCGCGTTGTTGCATTGTGGTTTTTAGGTTGCACGCACTGACGTGAAGTCGTTCTTGAAAAAGGTGTTTCCAAAATCCTACGAATACACTTATATATAAAGCACCGCAAGAACAAACGAACGGACACAAAATAAGTACATTGCGTAAAGTACAGCAATTCGCTTTTGCAGTTAAAAGACAGGGTGAATAACAATGGAAGTCTTCGGTTGTATTCGCATCAGAAGCAAAGAAAGACAAAATACTATTTTAAACATGCATGCTTATCTAAGTACAGTTGAACTTCCTTCACCTTCTTTGTTCGGGCAATCAACTCTACAAATGCAATGAAAGACCCTTGGCCTGACGAAACTTGAAAGGCTGCATTGCGACAAACAAGGCACTGCATGGACGGCCTTACTAGCAGAGATGGCTTGAAAGCTTGTCCATGTGGCTTCCGCATTGACTTGAAGGTCAAGTTGGAAGTTCTCCAAGCTGAGAGCCACTTGTCAACCTTTCTTGCTGACGAAGGATAACTGAGGCTACATTGTTAACAGTGAGGTAGAGAAATGTTGAGAGAAAGGCAGGGAGGTTAACCAGAAGAAAATTTTCCGGTTCACTACCCTGCATTGGGGAAGGAGTAAGAGATAGAATGGTAAAGGAAAGAGAAAAGAGAAACGAATAAAAATAGAAAAGGAGCGTGCACACTAAAGTAATTTAGTGAGTCCGGTTGACCTCAAAAGCTTCAGCAGCGTGTTTGTCACTTTCTGGCTAGACTAATAGAACGTTCCGGCACTCCAAAATTGACTGCTCGGAAAGCGACCAAGTATCTAACCGTGCTAACGTTTCTGAAAGATGCTGTCTCTGGGAGCTTTAATGGGGAGAATCACAAAGAATGTGTGCTAGATGTGTGAACGGGCTTCGAATAGCCTAAAATCCCGAGCCCGGCCTGATCCGTAGGCCGGACTCCGGCGGGCCAACGTCTTAGTCGCCTTGGGCCCAGGCCGTGCCCGGGCTGCATTGTGTTTTAGCGGGTGGGTAGTGCCAGATGCAAAGCTCGCTATCAAGCCCGAAATATAGACGGGGCGGACCGGCTGTCCCCGCAGCACCTTCTCCTCGAACGCTTCCCATCCTTATCTCGGTTCTCCCATTTCTTAACAAGATTAAACGCCAGGGAAAAGCGAGAAGTCACCCATGGTGAGACTTGTGATATCTATACACAAAATAATCTCATCTCCTACATCTGACGTACAACAGTTCTGAACGAATAAACAACAATACTACCAAGCTCGTGCAGCACTGCATAAGCCTCATCAGTCCTCCTAACTCCACTGCGCCACATTACATCCCATTTAGCACCCTCTAGTTGCTCGAATAGCTGAGCTAGACTTGCCTCACTAGATAAGGTTCTAGCGTTAAAAGTTTCCAAGTACACGTTCCAATGGCAGCCTGTCCGGACCCAGAGATTAATTCTCGATACATGAGGTGAGCTAAGTCCTTGAAAACATCGCTACGCATGTTCACGCCCGTCTCGAGTAACAGTGCAGATTATTTCCCAGACGAAGTGTAGTTAACAAAACTACGTCGCTCCGAAACCATCGCGATATGGAAACTACGTGCACGGTTGCATGCAGGGCTGGGCCCTATCGCAGATGCATGTATCTTAGATACTATTTTAGATACACTTCGGGCATCTTGCATCTGTATCATGATACGTCTCAGAAGACGAATATCTGTATCTGTATTGCCGATTAATTCGATAATGTATCGTGTATGTCAAGATGCAAGATATTGCTATAGGGACACTGCCATACGAAACAATAAGCGCTACTGAAGTCCACTAGTAAAGCTCGCTTTTGAAGATCAATTTCAGGACCCAATTTTTAAAATTAGACTGAATACCTTGGCTGCAAGAATTTTGTTCAGTATGTTTTTCATTTTCACGTTTACCTTTAGAGCCGGTGGCCAAACACAGGTTATTGGGAGAAGCACGTTTTCGCTTCATTTTTATTTTTGCAACCATTGCAGAGCTTGCTTTTTTAGGAATTGACCAAAAAAGGGGAGGGGAGTGTGCTGCTTTGAAACTTGGCCCCCTCTAATGGAAAACTGCACCAACGCCAATCAGGATGATGGTGATGTTTGTGGTGATGGTGATGATAAAATTAGGCACACGTACGATGTGTGCCTGCTCATATGCACTAAAATACTTGAATTAACTCCACAACTTTATTTGGATCTAGATGAGGATTATTACGAATGTCAACTATGGTTGTCCTGATTCACTCTGACCATGGCGCCTTCTTGGTGACAATCGTCTCTGGGACGTCTTCGCATGCTGGGTCATAGATGTAGTACTTCGGAGAAGAACCGCAGACGGCGTCGAAGATGAAATCACAATAGTCGGTGCGGTTCTGAGAAATTATTGAAGCAGCGCGCCACAGCGTGCAACCGTATCCTGTCAAAACAGAAGGACCAGTAAAGGTAATGACTGGCTGAGCATAGTGTACCACAGTAATTTCTTACAATATCATTTGGCACAGCATTAAGTAGTAACGGGAGAGTCAGTCCTAAGCGTTGGTTATTATTTAATCATCAGGTAAAGGGACTAGGAGTAGTGTGACATGCATTTAACATAGTTGGGTCCATGGTCAAATTTATGATTCATTAGATAGATATGTGGATTTTAACGTCCCAAAACCACCATATGATTATGAGAGACGCAAAAAAAATTTATGAACCATTAATCACAAACATTTACACAGGAATTGGAAAGAAATGCAGCACTAACATGAGCTGCCCTTTGATGTAATACGCCATTTTTTTGAATTCCCGTTAATTAAACATCCGAATGAACAACGATAATATGCCCTGCGAAGACGCCTTATGCGCAACAATTAAACTAACACTAAACAATGTTGATTTGTAAGGGTTCCAGAGAAGCCATCAAAACATGGAAGTGGTGGTCCTTTGATAAATGACGCACCATTTGCTATTCATGCAGTGACTGAATATTTTGCGCAGTTAGATATGGCATAGAGTGCACCGGCTGGCTTTTATTATGCAAAATAATGCCTTCTTGCTTCTGTAAGGCGCATTTTGGGTGATATTTGAATTTTGCCATAAAGAAAGGGGTTAGCACACGAGAAACTACCCCTCGACTAAATGGTAGTCTCCAGTTACTCGTGTTACTCACCAACGTTCATAGACGATTGTGAAACACTCTGATCAGGCAGATGAAGACGGAAGTAGGTTATTCGTCAATAGTTATACTTCGTATCACGTGACATAATTATCTGAATGCTCTAAATTTGAATAGAAGTGAAACAGCCACCGTGAATGAGGGATTTCAAGGATAAATTGCGAAAATATGTGTTCAGTTTTTCGGCGGAGCAGCTTGATATTTCGCAGCTCGCATGCTGACGTGCCAAATCTAAATTTCGTGTTATAGTGGGATGCAATACGCAGATAGTTCTTTAAGAAACTTGAACTACTATGTTAAAAAAGAATGCCAGCGATATCGTTACGGGGACCAGTGTATCTTTGAAATTGTATTGTCTCAAGTCAGTGCATGCTGTGAAGACAGTGGCAGACAGTTTGTTTAGAAGTAAAGGCCCGAAGTTACCGTTGCGGGCGTAATGATGACGTCCGATGTAGCAAGTGGTGCAGTCTGTATAGATGGTGTGGTGGTTCCACGCCGAAGGTTCTGAAATAACGCGAGAAAAGAATTTATGTCTCGGCACATCCACAATATACCTTGCGTCCTTTGTGGACCAGGCGCGACCAGCTGTTCATGGAGGATCTTTGAAGTCCACACACGAAGACTCCACCCGTGAGTGATAATCTAGCGCATTATGAGGGCGTCCACCTAATAACTTACATATTAAGACGAATTAACAAGCAATGATGTCAGGGTAACTATAGGGGAAGTTATTAGACGTGAAATAAAAGTGGACAAGAAGATAAGTTTTCTCCAGTAGGGACCGAAGCTGCGACTCTCGAATAACGTGTCGAATGGTCTTCCACTCAGCCACATCGATGGTCATCCCTCCGTCCATTTCGTAGGGTGTGCACCTAAATGCACATAAGCACCCTATAAAGTGGCCAGGATGATGACCACCACCGTAGCTCAATGGTATAGAACGTACTCTTGACAATGAGGATGACACCACCAATCGGGTGATGTCATTGAAAAATGCCAGATAAGTTATACGAAATGAGAGCATGTGACGTCATCACGACGCATCATGGCGTAATCGAACGACATCGTCACATGCTCATGCGTGGTTCATTCCCGAATTGAGTGCAGTGCCGAGTGAGGCGTGGAAAGCGTCGGTATAGGGAGGAGTAGTATTGCAGTCAACGGACAAATAACAAACCAAAAAGGAAGGAAAGAAGAGAAGACTTCCGCCTTCAAGTCCCTTAGCCAGCTGTACCCGCTCCCTTGTCAGTTTTACACAAAACAACAGAAGTTGAAGGCATTTGTTTCTACGAACAGGGAGATTAAAAGAAGCTTCGTTTTTGTTGGAGCAAAACTGAGCAATTAGGTTTTGATGAAAGCACCAAAAACTATGAGACATGTGTTACTTGATCAAGAATTGAGTAGCGGCAGCCATTGTTATAATAGAGTTACCAGATAACCAATATTTAATTTAATTTCACTAGCTGCTTCACCGAACATCAAACTGTGCACCAAAATTGTGCTACATTTGAGGAAAATTGACCAAATTCGCTTTATATATATTAATTTATTCCACGTTATATTTCCATGCGCTTTTTGATTCTGTAGCGCAAAAAAACGTCACAGAAAAAAATTCTAGGCAGACTTCACTTACCATGATGAGATGTAATGGTGTGCAGATTTCTTGCCGTGTACCCCGGCGTTGAAGTGGCAGTGTCGTGGCCGTGCCTGGGAAGTTACAAACACCGTATACAAACTTCTCCTTCATGCCGTCAGTATTCGTGCACGCTATGCCATGCAGCATTACTTCCGGAGTGGTCACGGGTGATCCGCTAATAAGTGACTGCTATATCTTGCGCTGTCTGCGAGGTACAGCTTTAATTGAGGCATGCTGAGACGTATACTGTATGGAAGCAGTCGCTTAGGCGTATCAATCAACGGTGAGGTCTGTCGTGCAAAACTTCCTGTTAGGCGAATGGGTGGCGTATAACATGCGACCTATTTTTAGGCACAGAGGCAGAAAGTAAAGGAACTCAGAGGAGAACACTGTGCTTCTTCCTCGCTCCTCTGAGTTGCTTCATTTTTTTACTTTTGCGCTAAAATGTGTCGCATGTTTCACCACCACCAACCAATAGCGTCACCACCAGCACCACCAACAACATTGATATTGTCGATTAAAAAGAAACGTTTCGAATGATTCCAGAACTTCTGTTGAGCTATTTGGTATTTCGTACAGGTAAAAAGACAAATAAACTTAAACATAACACATTTTCACGTGCAAATACCCACACATTCAGCCAAACAGAACCCACACTTGATGAACTTCAATCATTGTATAACTTCGACGCAAGCTTTAGTACTGTTGGAATGAATACCCAATTCACGCAAAAATTTTCAAAAAAAAAAAGTTGCAGTTAGCAGTTTCTACCCTCTTAAAGCTGTGTAAGTTCACGTATTAGTAGGTCTAAAAAACCAGTTTCTCCGCAAGGCCGAAGTAATGAGTGATATAGCAGCTAATAGAAATATTATAGGTGAAGTAGGCCTAGAAGCACCTCACTACGTGTCCTCATCGCCTACGTGTCCACGGTGCATGATGTTATGCGTCAGATGCCCCCATTACCTCCGTACTAGCAGAGTTAATTGCTTTCTGTGATGGCACTACCGCACTTCAGCCACTTGTCCAGATGAAATACTCATTAAGTTCCATATTTTCGCACTTTATGGATGAAGTGCGTCGCAAGGTATTCGCGCATTCACCACGTTGACCCTTCTATGCATGTGACAGAGCAATTTCGCCGCTGCACCTTATCGCTTATAGTTCGAGTGTGTTGGATTCGCGATCTAGTGGTCTGGCCCATGCCACGCCAGATGCCGCTTGAAACCATGTGACGGTCGTGTTTACTGCATGTAAACTTACGACATGTTGTACTGGAGGAAGAAAACACTTCGCCGACCAAAGTAAACATGTATTTTTAAAACACGTGTCGGACCATAACGTCTTTTCAATTATATTTTTACTTTGGTCGCCCCTTTGTTTTCTTCGTCCATATCATTCACCGATCAGACGAGATTCCGCCAAACTCTCGACTTCATATGCGGCCCTGCCCTGATAAATGCATTCTCAATGATCACTCAGTAAAAATAAGAATTCAAGATGTGTGAACTGTGCTGCGGTGCTAAAAGCAAATTAGGCCCTATGACCATCTGCTTGAGTTCGACCCTCTTTATAACAGTGTGACGTGGAGACTTGTCAAAGTTCGGAACACTGGAGATATAAACTATGATCGTTAATTAGTCTAGGTGTTGTCTTTATTATTTTCAGTCATTCTTCCTTTTTTAAAGAACTTTCTTGGGATACTTCAATGCGGAACTTTTGGTATCTCTCTCCCTCTTTCTCTGTATGTGTGTTTGTGAGTGAGAGAGAGAGAGAGTGTGTGTGTGTATGTGGTTGTGTTTGCGTCTGTCACCCGACTGAGTAGCGTAGAATGGGGAAAGTGTAATCCCTTCTAAAGCGACCCGCCATCTTATTCTAGTTTTGGCATTTGGCACACGTGCTAATATTGTCAATAAAAAACAAATATTACGCATATATTGGCGTGACATCAATGCGGGGTCATCAGGTATGCATAGATACTTAATTATAAAGACCACAGTGCTTAATAGGTGACGCTGGCGATGCAGCGCTATGACAAAAAAAATGCCGCCATATCCACGAAGTGAATGATGATGAGTGGGCGAAGCTCCGGAGGTAAACCTGGTAAACCACGAATCCTCCGTACATTTTGCCCACTCGATTTTATTGCAACGCTCCCCCTAGCGTACGTCGCCGCACTATATCGAACGATGACACGCGCCATATGTGGCATCATTCCTATTTTATAACACCTCGCATCTTTCATAATCAACTACACGTACCGCCGTCTAGTTTATAACATCTTGCATCTTTTGGACGGACGGACGGACGGATGGACGGATGGACGGATGGACGGACGGACGGACGGACGGACGGACGGACGGATGGAGGGATGGACGGACGGACGGACGGATGGACGGACGGACGGATGGACGGACGGACGGATGGACGGATGGATGGACGGACGGATGGATGGACGGACGGACGGACGGACGGACGGGCGGACGGATGGATGGATGGATGGATGGATGGATGGATGGATGGACGGACGGATGGACGGACGGATGGACGGATGGACGGGTGGATATGGCTGTACCCTTTAGATCGGGCGGTGGCTAGCGTAATACTTAGAACTGAACGAGAGGTGGCTACATACAGGGGACGCACAGCCCACGCCTTAAGGAGCTTCGCTCCTAAAAGAAAACGGATGTTTCCTACGCTTCACAAATTCCTCCATGGCTTCACTAAAACTGCATGGTGCTGCCACCTACCAGTTTGCATTCTAGAACAAGTTCGTTTGTTTGTATTACTGCTAGATGGCGTCCATATCTCACGCAGCGCATATTCGCCGATTTTCTCGCGTAGCACGTCAAATAAATGTTTTATTTTCTCTCTCTCAAGACAGAAGATTATTGTCGTTCGATGACCTTTGACAGCGAAGTAAGCAGATAAGCCACTAATAGTTTTGAATTAATAACCACCTTAGTAAAATACGCGCGCAGGCGTGCGCACACACACACACACACACACACACACACACACACACACACACACACACACACACACACACACACACACACACACACACACACACACACACACACACACACACACACACACACACACACACACACACACACACACACACACACACACACACACGCACACACACACACACGCAAGTACGTGTGTGTGGACACCAGCAAAGGTCATTTTTCATAATGATAAACGAGTGTCTTGAACAATCTTACATATATAGGCGTCCAAAGCCATGTCTTTCCCAGGAGATCTTGGTCAACCCGTGAATGTCCGTGTAGGGAACAATTTTATGAAACTTGACGCATCTGGAAGTTCCGCCGTACTGAGAATCATAGAGGTAGTTTCTGTAGACGAGGTAGTGGTCTTCAACCATAGGTCCACACTTCGCATGGAAACAAAAAGTAGTATAACGGGAAAATTAGCTGGTCATACTCCATCGCTAATGCATAAAAGCCACAGTATCACCGGCAAGGTGAAACAGTGAATGCGATAGCAGTGAAATGGAGTATCATATACGAGGTAAACGTAGCAGCTTACTGTATCAGCCAAGCGCATGAATTGACTTTCGCGCTGCAAATGGCTTCAACGTACAGGCATTTTGACGATGATAGGAAGGAAAAGTAGAGAGAGACGAAATGCCAGGATACGAACGTGATAGCGTTAAAGCGTTTTGTTCGCAGAAATTCTGGCATCAGCGTTGTTATCAGCATGGGCGTCCTTTTTCAACTTTATAGAATACAATGTAGTAATCCCCAGTTTACACTTCTTGACTAACATCATAAAATAAGAAGCATGCTCCAAGTGGCCTAAGTACTCACATAGGAGCCGGATGTCGCTATCACCTCCAAATGTTAATGGCGAAGTTCAAATTTTAACCACTGTAGCATATCCTTTATTCTGTACTGCACAGGGCAAAAAGATCGGGTATCTATCTATCTATCTATCTATCTATCTATCTATCTATCTATCTATCTATCTATCTATCTATCTATCTATCTATCTATCTATCTATCTATCTATCTATCTATCTATCTATCTATCTATCTATCTATCTATCTATCTATCTATCTATCTATCTATCTATCTATCTATCTATCTATCTATCTATCTATCTATCTATCTATCTATCTATCTATCTATCTATCTGTCTATCTGTCTGTCTGTCTGTCTGTCTGTCTGTCTGTCTGTCTGTCTGTCTGTCTGTCTGTCTGTCTGTCTGTCTATCTATCTATCTATCTATCTATCTATCTATCTATCTATCTATCTATCTATCTATCTATCTATCTATCTATCTATCTATCTATCTATCTATCTATCTATCTATCTATCTATCTATCTATCTATCTATCTATCTATCTATCTATCTATCTATCTATCTATCTATCTATCTATCTATCTATCTATCTATCTATCTATCTGCCGACATTTGGACGCTCCTATGGTCGCCTGCTCAACGTGGCGTGGTATTCACAAAAATTGGTGTAGCACGTTCGAAATTAACCAAGACTTGCGTGGGAAAGCGATAGTGGATGGCGAACACGATGAATAGCTCTTTAAATCAATAGTGTGAGATACTGTGGATTGGAGTTCGCGCAAAAAAATGCGAGCGAGAAAAGTAGCACGGACAGGTGCAGACTAACGAATGAGGTTTATTTTCAGAAAAAAAACACACATAAAAAGGAAAAGCAAGGACTCGTCCTAATGATAACAGGTTGGTGGTTAGATATCTCAATCTCGAGTTTATGCAGGTTCCCCGATGGCCTCGCCAGGCATACGTCACCAGATTTATGTTTGAAAGAAGCCTCAAGAATCTCTCGTGCGGTCCCATTTTTGACCCTCGAGAACATTTCCGTTTCTATTAGTAAAGGATGACATTTCCATTCCTTGCAATGCAGGCAGAGACTCGACGAAGGCTGCCCTTTTAAGGGATTACTATAGTTTATTAATCAGTTATTTACGCAGCGTCCGGTTTGACCGAAAGACCGGGACAGATTGGTTGAGTGTGAAAAGGAGGTAGTCTGTCACATTACTACTTCGTGTGGCGCTAGCTGGGTAAATAACCGATTAATGGACCAAAGAAATTCCTTGAAAGGCAGCCTCCGCCTATGTCCTCTGTGCGACGGAGATTTTCATATTATTTGATCTCCGCTCTAGCAGCGTTATTCGCCACAGTTTATGGGCTTCTACTAGCTGGTAGAACAATGACGGTCATGGCGGCAACGGCGGAGCCAAGAACCTGTAGAGAGTGTCCGTATCATTATAATAGCAATAAAATGTGCGAAACGGTTTCTCAGCAGTTCTAACGTAGAGAAAATGCATACAAGTTCCACTCAAAAACCCGCCTAAAGTCAATTATAAAACTTATAAATAAAGCGTGGTACATACGAACACTTACCCTATTGACATCTTGATATTTCTGTACGGAAGGTTTCAGTTCAGGGTAAAAGTATGCGCCAGCGAAGTTGACCTAAAAGTTGAAAGGCGAATATAGCAATTGTTACTACGGAGAAATTACTTGGCGCAGTCATTACGAGCTGTCGATACAATGATGTATAACGATGTGGTGAAACCGTTCCTTTTAAATACACAGTGTGAAAGAGAATGACATAGGAGGAGGAAAGAACGACACCTGTCAGCCAATGGCATATAATTGTTCCGAGTAGTAGAAGAAATAGTTCATGATTGTTTAACCCGGGCAGCACTGTTACAGTTATACACCTGAAGATGTAACTTCGAGAGTTTTAAATTTATTTATTGCATTGCGCTGCTTTACATCACAGTTTAGTCGAGTTAATACTGCCCACTTGTTTTTTGTCGTTTGTGCAGCAAACTTGGGTGATCTGCTTATTGTTTTTTTGGGTTGAGGTGCTATGTTTTGAACCATGCGTGTTTTCTAAGAGGAGGACGTCTGTGCTGTTGTATCCTTATTGTTGATTAAGGCTGTATTTCGTGAACAATATAAATTTCTATGGAAACGTTTAGGAAATGAGGCACGAGTAGTCTTCGCGCACCCCAAAGCTTTTCCATGTGAGAGACTGCCATCAAGTTTCGAATAACTGGGAAGCTATTGTTAATTAGTAATGTCAACGCTACTTGCGCAGTGACACAATATTTCCATGCAGACGTTTGAGGAAAACAACAGGTGCCTGTCTGTCATAGCAATTTTCCTTTATAAAAGTATCTGTATTGTCCATAAGAAAAAAAAACACACTCATCATTTCTTTTTTCTCCAGGAGCAGTATCTTCTAGTAAGTGACATTGAAAGAAGTTGCATAGCAGCGCAAGGACTTTTAAAATTAGATGAAAACTGAGCTCGTACATTGTATCAAGGCGAGGCATACAAAAGAGCGTGCACTTGTTCGTTGATACAACTGAATTCAACCTCGAAATGTCACTAGGTATCGCTAAGAAAACCGCTTTATTTTTTTTTTTGCATGGCAACGTGACAAATGAGAGAATTGTTTTCTCTGTTGAGTTGACAAACGAGCACGAATCCTTAAAAATGTACACGCTGCAACTGACTCTCTCAGCTCCTCATGTGCACCGTATTCTGAGGCTTATGCCTTCGTAGTGACTCCGTTTCGTACGCAGCCATGACCTTCATGTAGAATACAATGGAAGCTTTCAGTTGTATCCGTATAGAGAACATAAATAGAAAATACAGAAATAGAAAGGACCATTTTAAATGTGCACGCTTACCTCATTATATTTATACCTCATACAACAGGTTTGTTCGCACAAGAAACTATACACAGACAATAAAGAAGCCCTTGGCCTGACGAAGCCCGAAAGGCTGCATTGTGACAAACAAAGCACTACATAGACGGGATTGCTAGCGGAGATGACTTGAGAGATTGTTCATGTCACTTCCGCATTGACTTGACCGTCAAGTCGAAACTTTTCCAAGCTGAGAGCCACTTGTCTGCCTCTCTTGCTGACGAAGAGTAACTGAGGATACATTGTTAATACTGAGGAAGAGACAGGTTGAGAGAAAGGCAGGGAGGTTAACAAGAAGAAAATTCCTCGGTTCACTACCTTACATTGAGAAAGGGGTACGGGAGATAGAACAACAACAGAAAGAGAAAAGAGGAAGGAATAAAAAATAGACAAAACGAAAGTATGAACACTCTCAAGTAGTTTAGCGAGTCCGGTTTGCCGTTAATACTTTAGCAGCGCATTCTTCAGTTGCGCAGAAAGCAACTAAAGCACTGCTACTTAAAGTCAACCAACCTGAGTGACAAACCTGAGTGACTGTGTGTGCTCGTGATTGTGTTTACCTTTTCATCTCTCTGCAACCTCTTTTCTCCCCTTCATCCCTTCCCATGTGCAGGGTAGCAAACCGGATGTGCGTCTGGTTAACCTCCCTGTCTCTCCTTGTATCTTTATTTCTCTCTCTCTCTTCACTTGCTGGTCAGAAGCTCCAACTTTCCGGCAGTCCGAAATCGACTGCTCAGAGGATGGCTGGTTATGTAACCGTGTCAACGTTGCTGAAAGCTGTTCTCTCTAGAAGCTGTGATGAGGAAAATTACAAAGGATGTGTACAATGGTTTCCTCGCTATCCAAGTGATCACAGGTAGCGCTGTCTAACATTTCCATTCGATAAGCGAAACTGCTCGCGAATGACGCTCCGAGCCACAGGTGGCAGTGGGTTGTTGTTTTAAATTGGGACAGTGCGGATAGAATTTTGACGTACCGAGACGGTGAAGGAGGTTATGCAAAAAAAAAAAAAAAACGGTTGTGTTTCACATGTGTTCCTGACTTAATGGGAATATCCGAGCGAGTGAAAATTTGATGCTGCATCAGTTGAGGCTAGTGAAATGGCTTCCTGCACGCGAATTTCATGAGCGTTGCTTGCAGAGTTATTGGCATGCTCGTTGCCGGTGATTACACAGTGGCCTCTAAACCATTGGGAAGTTGTGTCATGCTCTGTATTTCTATTGCTGATCAGTTTCTTTTATTTCCAATACTAACTGGTATTGTACACCACGACGCAAAGCTTACGACAGACGCTGCAGGGCTGATTTCGAGTCTGGAATATAGTTCATTTTAGTTACGACTCTGATCAAGTCCCTCGAAGGGTGCTGCAGAGTTGCAAAAGCACCACAGCAGCCGATGTAGTCATGTGAGGTGGTGTAGTGTAATAGGTCTTGAATTTCGCAGCGAATTAAATAGCTCCTACAGATCCCCCAGCAGTATAGTAAAGTCATTGGGGTAATGTTTGCCATGGTTTGTATTCGTTGGGCAGCATCAACAGAGACAGCAGCTTTAAAGCAGGCGACGAGAGCTCCGTCTTCAAAGATGAAAACTGAGCCTGTACATTGTACCGTGTCTAGACATACCTTCGCACATTCACGCTAATACAACCGTATGCGGCCTTGAAACATTGTTAGCTACCACAAAGGAGACAGTTTCTTTTTTTCAGACGGTAAATTAAAAATGGAGGGATTGTTCTCCCTGATGACGTGATGATCTTCATCCGTTTGTCCATGCATTCTTTCACAGTGACTACGTTTAGCAGGTCGACGTGAATTTCATCTAGTTTATAAAACAAAAGAATCAAATTACGCTTTTTGTTCAAGTTTAAAGCAGACTGCGTAATTGTCGGGGAGGAGGTCACCGACTTCTCAGAAGCATAGCATCGTTCCTGAAACACTTTCACATTCGGTGAGCAACAGTGGCCTCGTTAGAGGAACATTGTGCTTGTCGCCATATTGCGGTACTCTTTTTGTATCCATTCATACTTGGTTTACTTGCATATTAATGCACTGCCACAAGTATTTGTAATACTTGTGTCCATGTGCTTCGAGTTGTCAATGAATTCACCCTCGCGCTGTCAGTTGCCAGTTTCCTGGTTAGCTCAATTGGTAGCTAGAGTGACCCGCCACCGGAAAGACTTTGGTCCCGTGTTCGAACCTCGGACGAGGGTAAATTTTTTGGCAACTAAGAATCTTTTCTTTTTGACAAATCTGTACCGATGTTCTTGTGGCTTCATGATACAAACGGGCGGTTGTCCTTTTTCAGTTTCTTATACCTGATCAGATACTGTGGAATATAGAATCTTGTTTTAAAAACCGAGCTGTTCAGAACCGAGGTTAATCCTTGTGGAGCGTAACACAGCTCCCAGCGTGTATGTGCCACATAAATAGCGCCAGCCCCTCTGCTCACCTCTACTGCACTAAAAATAAAAAAGCTGTCTACAGCAAGCTCGGCGCTTATGCACCAAGCACCTCCTGGTGAGTATGTGTCATAGAACATAGGGAAGCTCAACTATTCTCCAACTCCAGATGATAGTGTGACACACGCGTAATTGGGACATTAACTATGCTTAATGCCTTATTGGGAGTTTCGTACGAACTGTGAAACATAAATGTTAACTCGATAGTGTTAAATGAAGTGACCTCGTTCCGCCAGAATTCCGTCGTCGGTTGGGCGCGAGAAATCTCGATCTTGTCCGTGATGGAAAAATCGAGAAAATGCAAATTAAATACAAATTTCCGCTTCCGAGTCAAGATCGAACTCAAGGCAGACTTCGTGGTAAGCATGTGTTTTACTAGACAGCCTCTAGATTTGTTGTAGCTGCTATGAAAATAAAAGAAAACACTGTATGGATGTGTATTGGAAGGAGTATCTTTAACTGCATCATGCTTTGCGTGGAAGAAGCGTGAATTCGCTGCCAGGCGTCAAAGCATGTGAGTTGAGTGACGAGTGGGCGTTTTAAAGGCGACTCAATATAAAGCGACAAAAGCTATTTAATTATCATTTGCAACAGAACCATGTGAACAGCTGCGTAGGTTCGTGTGTTTCCTTGTGGATGCGTGGAGGAACCTTTGCTGATACGTAAAAAGAATAATTATGGCGTAGTGCATACATAACAACTGCAATATGCATTCAGTGATAGTCTGAAACGGCCAATGCTACGCGCATGCGCACTCGTTTGTTACTTTATGGCACGGTTGAGGCACGGACCGAGACTCGAAGCACTTCCGAAGGCGATGCGCGCCCTTCTGCGGCACCCCGCTCCCTTCTGCCCATTGTCCGAATTTGAAATAAAACAATCCTCGCAATAAAATCGAGGCTTCGACTGACACCCGTCTGATCAAGAATAAGATGACCGTGGTGATTTCAAGAGGGCAACCTCTGCAATAAATGCGAGCGTAAAATGAAGAGACCACATGGTTCTCAGAAACCGGCCTGCCTTTACTTCTCCGTTTCTGAAGGATAAAATTTGGAACTATAATGTACTAAGGATACTCAGACGCCATGTTCATCGATACTATCAAGGCACCTTAAACAACGAGAGGACATGTCCGGTTACATACAGATATGGGACAGAGTCTCCGCCCCCGTTGACAACATGCGCACGTTTATGGTCACACTGTCCTCCGCCACTCTAAATAGTTGATTTTAACACATGCAGACCACTCTCACTGGAATCAAAAGGACCCGAGAAGCGGTTGGTATTCTCTTGTTCGAAACAAACGTGCAGACTAAAGCTAATATCCTGCTCGCTAATCTCTTAACATTAACCTTATAAATGTAAAAGATATTGAGCACATTTTTGATTTAAACATTCTTAATGATTTTAAAGTCAAGACACATATACATTGGGTACTTAGTCATGGCACGTATGATAAAGGCATGGTGTTGCTGTGACGGGTTCTTTTTTTCAAGATGCTCAATTGAAGCCAATAAAGGGCAGATTACATTAAAAGGCTTGCGAGGAGGGTATGGCCAGAAGAAGGACATGACCAGTTTAATTGGAAAACGTATCAGAGGGCCTTACCCTGCAGTAGGCTTGGCCACACTGACGATGATGAAATTAATCTAATAGGTCGTGATCCATGTTCACTTGATGACGTTTGTATTCACTGCTGTATTTCTAGGCAGCATGACATCTTTATTCCAGTGCATGCTCCGGATTACTGTGCATTTCGAGAATGACCACAACATTGATCCATTTCCACGAGTCACTCATCCCATGGTGCCGTGTTGGTGACAAAGACGTTCGGCGTTCGTTCGCATGCCGGGTCATAGATGTAGTACTTCGGAGAGGAGCCACAGAGGGCGTCGAAGATGAAGTCGCAGTAGTCGATGCGGTTCTGAGCAATCACTGACGCAGGCCGCCACAACGAGCAGCCATATCCTGCAAAGACAGAAGGACAAGTTACTCTGGTGCATGATTGAACACGACCGGACATGAGAACTTCGGCTAACAACAGCATCGCTGTTTTAAAAAAAAAGCAAGATTCGAAACTTCGCAAACATACCTCGTGTTTTACGGATTTTACCAGTGCCTTTATTCGCGTCTGTGAGGGGCACTTGTCCGTGATTGACAGTGCGCTGAGCAACACTTTATCTACGACGTCGTGAACATGCCTCGCTTCGAGAAGCTCTTTACCATTCTTCAAATTAGCTACCCGGAAGACACTATCTATAGCAAGTTGCTATCTCAGCCCAAAAGTAATAATAATCGGCACACTTAGCAAGGCCTGACTAACAAAACACGGGCCGTGACGACAAGCTCGGTTGCGCAGGTTCAAATCGGTGCAGTGAATAGAATGCCACGGCCTCTAGGGGGAAAACGCTTTTTTATTTAGCTGCCGTGACCGCGAAATGGCTGGTGGTGTCTGTTGCAAGTTGCCGCCGAGTTTTCAGGCACGTTATCTCGACGGTGATAATTGATAAGCTGTGATCGTTTAGTAAGAGAAGCGGCCGGCACGCGCGCAGTTTCTCCAGACGGGTTCATCGCCTCCGTTCTCGTCTTTCCCCAGGTCATGCCTTTTAAGTTGCCGCGTTCGCCTGAGGGTGCGCGAGGTCTGGCGAAAAGGAGCGCCCAGACGGCTGCTAACAATGTAACGTCTTTTGGAAGCAAACGAAAATGGCCAAAGGGAAGCACCAAAGTCAGGCTCAGTGATTAGCCGGCGCTTGCAACTTCTGCTCCCGTTTCCGATCATGTTTGCTGCCGCGGCCGCTTTCGCGCTGTATGAGGTGGTGAGTGACTGTGGTAGCTCTGCTGGACTGCATAGGTGGCGGTAGCTGTTGTACATGTGCACGCGTAGAAGGTGTGGTGCTAAGTGATGTTTTTTTTTGTCACATTTGCGCTCTGGGACACAGATGGCCCTGTGATGTCGCCTGCTGCAGTTGACGACGACGACAAGGTGAGAACCTTAACAGTTGTGTTATTCGGTTAAATCCGTGGTTAGGCTTAAGGAACGTTCGCTGCTGTAGCCGCTTCGTATCTAGAAATCAGGTACGTTGCATTGCAAAAGCTTATCAGAGGTTCGTGTCGTTTTAATGATCCTCAGTAGCATATTTCCAAAGGAACACGCGTTACCAGTTCGCTGCAATGTGGTATACGTGAACGCAAACGGGGAATACGATCAAGTGACATCACTCAGTCGTTCGTAAAGGGCGCTTCATTCGTTGAATCGCGTGTAAGAGGAGCCATCCCCTTGGGGTTTGTGTTGCGTTTATTGCAATCGGGAAGCATGTTTCCCGTTTGCAATAGACCAACCCGAGACGAGACTCGGGTCTCGTTAATATTCTGAGTACTTGAGGGGCTGGGCTGTCATCGTTGCTTGCGTAACGTAAGCAAAGCCACAAATGGCATGCAGTTTGGGCACGCGCTCGCGCCAAAGAGAAATCTCTCCTTCTTGTTAATCGAGTGTCTGAATGAATATCAGGGAGCAGCAGTGTAGGGGTCCGGGCGTTAGTAAGCTGTCATCGGTTGTTGCAACGCAGACAAAACCACGTCTAAAAATAGAAAAAAGGAAGCAAGTGCGAAACAGAAAGAGAGTGAAAGGAAAAGCTGCGGGGAAAATGACGGTAACCCTTTGAAAAGAAGACTGGACGGGTCTCGAAAATGTCGGGCCAGTTTTTAAAAATAAAGTCTAAACGTAGCTCGGGTTTATTTTGTTCTGGAAATTTCATATTCGCACTGGGAATCGTTTTGAGGCTTGCTATAGCTCGTTTATAGCTTGCATTTACGAGGAGGTTTGGTTTCGCTCAATGTATACCTTGCAGTTTTTTTTTTTTTTGCTTTAGAGCAGAACATGTCGTAAGGAATATAAACGGCGCGAAATAGACGAGACAAGCGAAGAAACACACAAGATGGGTGCCACCCTGTGTATTTTAACCGAGAGTGAGTTTCTGGGCTTGCAGATTTCACTTTCTTTCTCTATCGTGAACACGTTGCGCTGACTAGGCATACTCGCCTTCAGTTTGTCCCCGTGTTATGCGTCACAGCAGCGTCACTACAGAACCTCAAGGCAAGCGCGCTAGCGAGGAAAGCGTATGAGAACGCACTGCCTGCAGAGCCATCGCCACTTCTTGTCTCTGTATTCATTCATTTCGGCGACAAATACTCGCGAGCCTGCCACAATACCACTCCCGCAATACCGGGGAACGCACGGGTAGAGGTAAACCATTTCGTTGTGAGGGAGTGTGTGTGTGTGTGTGTGTGTGTGTGTGTGTGTGTGTGTGTGTGTGTGTGTGTGTGTGTGTTGATGAGTGAGTGAAACAAATTTATTCTCTTCACAATATAACGAAAACATGAATTGTCTTTGACGGACTTAATACCGTCATGCAATCACAGCTGCGACAAGCTCGGTTGCACAGGTTGAAATCGGCGCAGTGAATACAATCGGCTCTTTAGTACAAATATAGCCGTCATACATGATTGTGTGGTATTAATGGTTGAATTCTGTGATGCATACTTCCTACTCGTAGTGAGTATTAACGATCTCGAATGCTAGTTTACCGAATCGCCAAATTTTACAACATGATTACATTATGTAGATATTGCATGGCGTCAAAACACTTTTGGCCTCATACCAAGTTGGCAATGTATTGAAGCGAAAGCCAAGACCGCCATTTATGAACGAACTGGCTAAGTGCTTGGAACATCCGAACCTTGTGAACTGAATAGTTATTGTTATTTCATCACCTTGGTCAATTGTTCTCGTACGTTTCTTGTGAGAAAAAAACTTAGTAAGTGGGAACATTGTGGCTGACGAGCAATAGTTACTCTTGTGAATGCGCACTTGATGCATAAACTTTATACTGCTTTATGGTTAGAGGCCAGACGCTTAGATACCTCAACAATTACAAAATTACGAGTAATGCAAATCGCGTGATGACATCCCCGTATTACGTCACGATGGCGCCACAAATGAGCAAAACTTGTGACGTCATCATGACGTCATTGTGACCTCAGATAGCGTGCCGTAACATGATTTCATTATCGCATGTCATTGTTCCTTTGCTAAGGGCAGGACAATCACAAAGTTTGTGCAGAGCTATAGATGAGATGCAGAAAGCTTGACATGCCTCTGATTCCGGAGGCCATTCAAAGCCACCTTAGGTGCAGAAAGCTTGTGAAGGGGTGAATCAATACAGTACTGAGAATAAAAAGATCAACAAGATGGCTTTAGCCTTCAAGTCATTCTTAGGCGCATGCGTCAGGGATCTTCGCACTTTGACAGCTTCACAGCTGGTTAAAGTTTACCTATAGTCATCACGAAGCGAATTATTACGTTAGACAGAAGGACTGGCCCGAACCATACACAGGCACCAACCTCTTCTTGAACAAATATAATAACAAAAAAAAAAACTCCCGATATTGTTTGTCCGCATGGGAAAGGTAATACTTAAAGCAAATATATAAACTTACCACCACGGGCATAATGATGACGGGCAATGTAACAGCTGTAGCAGTTTTTATAAATGGTGTGATGTCGCCATACCCCGGGCACTGAAATGAAACCAGATATAATAGATTATCGCAGGCTATCTATAAAATGTCTTTAGACTTTGTAAAAATGTTAGCCAGAAGCTTCTGCACTCGGAGACACGTTTTCTTGCGAGTCAAAGTAAAGCTAATGGTGAAAGAACATCTATACGTTTATTGCTGTGAAAGTATGCCCGCTTTGGCATGCATTCGTAGCTCAGTGGAAAGTGATGGCTCCGGGAAGCATTTCATTTCACTTGTCTTGTCTGCTCTTTTCGGGTGACTTAAGTGACCCAAGAAGAAATACGAAGGTACCTAGGCACCGAAACACTTGATCCCTCAAGTGGGTCTGCTCAGACCATTCAGAGGCAAAACTGGGTCCCCATTTTCGAATTCTGAGCCATCTGGACTGGTCGGCGTCAGGTCAGATGGCTGAAGATTCGCCTTTCCCTACGCGCTGGCCATTATTACTCATGTGCGATGAAGATCAGTGTGTCAAAAGCGCATAATTCAAACATTGGATTTCTACAATCACGTCATTTTGGGGTCAGAAGACTAAAGCCTTTCCCAGGTCACTACTCGCAGCTCGCTCAAAACGGGAACGAGAACAGCTGTACAGAGTAGCCAAACACACTGTACGAGCACTTGTTGCCTGGGCCGAAACGGTCACTATCAGATGAAGCTGTGGTGATATTTATATTTAAGGAAGCAGTGGTGATGATATGATAGAGACCCATGTATTTAGACTTAGGTGCATGCTAAAGAACACCAGGTTGTCGGTATTTGCGGAGTCTTTCACTACGTCATGCCTCGATCATATAATTGTTTTGGCTCGTGAAAATTAATAATGAGAGTGATCCCTTAAGTATCGATATTGCGAATATAGTACAAGGCATAATGAAGCCTTTAGAATGGGCTAAATTATCTATTTTTTTTTTGCTGTGTACATATGTTTAGTTTAGTCATGTTAATGCACTATAATTTTATTTGAGTGTCTAAGACAAATGAATGCTTCATATAAAATGCTCTAATTTTGGTGTAGAAAACTCAATGTTGACTACATCATACAGGCATTGTAGAGCAATATCACGACTTTAAAAAAAAAAAAACCACTTCACATTTATATTGGTCTTCACTCACTATGGTGGAAAGTGATGGTGTGCAGATTTCTGATCGAGTATCCTGGAGATGAAGCAAGATGTTGTCGGCCGTGCCTGTAAAATCGAAGAGACCGTCCATCAGCCAACTTAGTGAATCATCTGCTTCATGGAGAAAGTGTTTGAGGAATTACTATATATCAGTTCAGTGGCTCAGTAATTCTTGTATATATGAAACATGATGGTGTCTGATACCCACTCTTGTCTCTCACATTACTTGGCAACATGAAATATTATTGGAACGAGAATTTCGCTGGCTCCAACGACACCCTCTGTTCAGGAGTTTTGGAGTTGTTCAAGATTCTATCTCCACATAGATATTTTACTTGTTTGGCTTTCTTCTGATACAGTGCACGTTGAACCTTCTATGCAGTTTCGTATGTAGTGAAGCATTTTTGTGTGATAGTTTGAACACTGATTGCGGCAGGGCCTGAAATTCTGGATATCTATCTATCTATCTATCTATCTATCTATCTATCTATCTATCTATCTATCTATCTATCTATCTATCTATCTATCTATCTATCTATCTATCTATCTATCTATCTATCTATCTATCTATCTATCTATCTATCTATCTATCTATCTATCTATCTATCTATCTATCTATCTATCTATCTATCTATCTATCTATCTATCTATCTATCTATCTATCTATCTATCTATCTATCTATCTATCTATCTATCTATCTATCTATCTATCTATCTATCTATCTATCTATCTATCTATCTATCTATCTATCTATCTATCTATCTATCTATCTATCTATCTATCTATCTATCTATCTATCTATCTATCTATCTATCTATCTATCTATCTATCTATCTATCTATCTATCTATCTGTCTGTCTGTCTGTCTGTCTGTCTGTCTGTCTGTCTGTCTGTCTGTCTGTCTGTCTGTCTGTCTGTCTGTCTGTCTGTCTGTCTGTCTGTCTGTCTGTCTGTCTGTCTGTCTGTCTATCTATCTATCTATCTATCTATCTATCTATCTATCTATCTATCTATCTATCTATCTATCTATCTATCTATCTATCTATCTATCTATCTATCTATCTATCTATCTATCTATCTATCTATCTATCTATCTATCTAATTTGTGTCTCATCTCATCCCGAGTACACTTGACTCATTGGAACAGCTTCTTCACCTTATACAATCGTACTTGGGAAGAGATGAGACACAACTTAGCGGTTGTCTTAATTTTATTTCCAACGGTTTCGACCAGTGGACCGGTCTTCGTCAGGGTTTGCGAACAAGTCTCGTAGTTCACAACCATGGGATCAGTGGCCGTGAGCGTGCCGATTTTAGGAAGAATACTGACGATTCCGGATTCGCTCGTGGCACGTTGCAGCCGCTGGCAACGGACAATTGCCGTCGAGGCTTAGGCGATTAAACATGGTTCCTGGTCTGGCTTCGCATCTTTCCTGAGGGATTCTGGGATAGCCACAGCCCTGAAACTACTACATTATGCATGGCCATTTTGTCAAGAGCAACTAAAATTCTGAGCGTCCGATGTGGCCCTTGTAATTTGAAAGATGTGGCCCAAGGTTGCAACCGACAAGAAACGAAAAAAGACAGAAAGAACACCATTTTTTCCCTGAAGCATTCATGGCATGAATGCTCTTGAAGGACATGCACAGATCATTTCGTGCGCAGGAACGTGTGCTTGTATGGCGTTGTATCAATCTATTATTTTTTCTTCTCAGTTCTAACCTTATGCAACGTCTTTCAAGTAAAGCTACATTGACTGGCCCAACGTAACGTACTGATTTCTTGTCGTTTACTACTGGACGTGATAACGTCTCACCGATATAAGGCGTATATTTCTGAGCCAGACGTTGTAGCCACCGAGTTGACTTGCCATATCGAAGCTCTTGCGACATTTTCGAGTGTTCGGGGAGCGATACTCGTTCCGAAGTTCGGCCAGGCGTGTCCTCGGTGATCGGCTCCAGCAGCGCACTGTTGCGAGGCCTGAGCCGATCGCGGAGTCCACGGTTCGGCGTGCTGGCTAGTATTCCGCCCAGCCACAAGGGGACGCTAAATATTACACTGAGTTAGGGAGCCTTTATGTGAACGGAGGTGCGCACATGAAGGTTGCCTAGACTGAGTTTTAGAGCTTGTTTTTAAAGGTCTCGTGAAGGAGTGTGCTGTACGCGAAAAGCATGTCGTAGCACAACGTCACACCATGCCAATGTTGCCTTATTTAATTTCGATCCATTCATTCCTTCGCCCATAAATAAGAACTATCAGACTTGGTACTTCATTAATTTTTTTACTTATCTCGCCACGAAATCATTTAGCCAGGCTGTCAGTCCTCTTCAAATGTCAGCTTAGTCTCAGAATTCGCTACAGTTTCTTATAAAAAGGAGCCCTTGAAAAGATCAATTATTCACAAGTGTTCTCAACAAAATCTTACAAGTATTGGCGTCCGTAGCCGGGAGCGCTCCAGGAGTACTTCGCTGACGTCTGGGTGTCTCCGAATATTTCGATTGCATGGAACTTGACACATTTGGAAGTTACGCCGTAGTTTGAATCGTAGAGGAAGTTTCTGTAGACAAGGTAGTAGTCTTCGTTCTTCCGCCCGCACTTTGTACGAAGTAAAAGAGCGACACAAAGGTCAAAGTCACAATTCGTCACTTGTGTATATACGCTATTACGAAAATCTAAATCCTCTACACAATGCCCATGTGAGAAATACTCTAAGGGCGTGGGTTGCAATTATTTTTAATGTCCGATTCAGAACTACCACTGGTCAGACTTAATACGGTGAGCCAATATTCCGACATTTTTTTAATTAACGAGCATCAGAGAAATTGAACAAGAAGCTTGGGAGCCTCCAGTCATGTGGTCGATCTTACAAGTTGAGTGTCGCCGTGCATTGCAGGTAGATGCCCTATTGACGAGGCTTACGATAAGTTTTTGAAGTACATTCTTAGTGTACGTTATCACTGTACATTATCTCTTTACTTATGTAGACGCAAAAATTGTAGAGGGTTGGCATTAAGGTACCCTATATGTAAGGGACTATGTTGGCGTGTTCCGGAAATGTCAGAGAATCATTTCAATAATAGTGTGGCTTGTTACTCCCTTACTTTTGGAATGATTTACAGGCAGAGAGTCAGTGTGCTACGTCTTAAGCCTGCTCGGTCGCTTAACAAAGGCAGTAGACCTTAGCCGAATATAAAAATCAGTAGGCGGACTCGGGAAATGGTCGCCATGTTACTGTCTAGGAATGTAATAACCATTGGTAACTTATATTGATATTACCATCCGTCCATTGGCGCCATTGATGATTTGTGTTGTTTAACGTCCCAAAACCGCTATATGATTATGAGAGTCGCCGTAGAGGAGGGCTTTGAGAATTTCGACCACCTGAGTTCTTTAACGTGCACCCAAATCTGAGCACATGGGCGATTAGCGCCATTATAACAAAGACATTGCTTTCGTGTAAACTGTATTTACGAAGTGCTTGGGTCACGCTAGGCCACGTTGATTTTCACGTAACAAGGTCGCTTTTACTTCAGAAACGAGTGGCACCGTGATGTAACTATAACTAATCTTAGACCTTTGTTTCAGCAGATGTGGGTGATATTGTTTCGGTAGGTTTTATCTAAGCGGCAATGAATGGTGACGTTGCCGAACCCTTTGAACAATAGCTTTATTAGATGTACGCATCATTTTTCGATTTCAGTTGCCACTCAACATTATACACACGGGACTTCATATGAAGGGTCCGAGTCCTCATTGTAATGTAAATGTGCGCTTCTCCAAACTTTCTTACGTTCATGTGATTCGTACCTTAAAAAAGCGCTAACATGGCCAATTTTACGATCATTGCAGAACTCAAGAGAGGTGGCATGTTCTACTGTGTGAATAAAGCTATCTTTGAACCGTTTTAGTACACGTCTGGAAATCGGCCTCTATTTATTGTGAAATATCTGGTGGTAATGAAAATTTTTTGAGGGGCATTTTAATGTAAGAGCAATGACTTTTATTTAACGCTGTCAAGTCAGTGTCAGCTGGTGACAATTTTACAAAATAACAAGGGAAGGACAGCACTAGATGATAAACTTTGAATTTTTGTGCTCAATAAAGGCTCTCCACTTTCAAACAACAGCAATAGTGCGACAAGCTTGGAGATACTTTCAAAAGTTTACAATAAGATATTGTGCCAGAATTGTAGCTTGTAACAGGCTCCTGCTGCCGTGACTTAAGATGCTGTATACCATTGTAAGGTCGCGCTCCATGTGACATCCCCCGCCACCTTCCTCCTTGGTAACACGTATTCCCGAGAAACGGAACCGGCTCGGCGTGGAAATACCCTTCCTCGCTTGCCTGACGTGTTCCCGATAAGCGGCGCCCTGCAGCTTCCTCTGCCCAAAGCCACCTAGAACAGGTTCTAGGAGGCACTGCCTCTGCCTCCCCTGCTCCTTCCATAAAACTGCCTGTCCAGTGTCGACGAGGTTCACGGGCAACGAGGCCGGAGGGATAAAAGGAGGGCCCGAGAAAAGACAAGGGGTCTTTTTTGCTGTTAGGAGAGCTTGCCGGCTAGACACTGGCACGACCACCTTAGGCCCCACTGCGGGTCATACTTTTGCCGACATCTCTGCCTTGTAAATAGTTTTGTACATGAAGTTCTATTTGTAAAACGTCCAGTGGTGAAGGCATCTTTCCCCGGGGAAAAGTCACGAGGAGAGCGGTGATCATCCTCGCGAAGCAACGAACCCGGCTTTGTTTCATCACCAAGAACCTGGTCCCAACCACATTCCGAGTTCGGACGAAAATTTACCACCATAGTGCAATGGGCTGTATTAATAGAAGCACCTACCCTTCGGGCATCTTGGTATCTCTCAAGGTCCGGTCTCAGTTCAGGGTAAGGACCTATCTCGGCGAAACTAAGACTAAGTTGCAGGGCTATGACGGCCACAGCTCCGAGCCACTGACTCCGTAGCGTATGCATTGTAAAGTGCAGGAACAGATTAGTGGAGCTGTCGCACTGGAACTCTTTCTTTTAAGCGCACGCCGAGATGATAAACGTGAAAGGAGAAATGAGAGTGGAGGCATGGACGCCTGACAGCTGAAGTGCGCATTTGTTTTCAACACAAGAGGGCATAATGCATGATTATGTAATGCTGCCGACCCCCGCTATGACTTGCAGGTAGATGTGGCTGCTTATTAGTGTGCGGCTTCATTTTACTCTTTATTTATACATCTAATTTCAATTGATTTCAACCGCTTTATTTACACTTTTATGGGGATTTCTACATCGAGGGTAATTTAACACTGTTGTGTTGCCTTCCCTCTATTGTGTAGCAAACCGGAGCATTGGCTTACTTTTTTAGGATTCCTGTTTTGAAGCGAGTGACCTTTCTAAAGAGTACACATCTGTCGTATTGTCTCAATTTTTTTGGGATTTTATCTATATACATATACTTGAGGAGCGTCTTCTAGGACGCTTGAATAAACACACTTGAATAGAATAGCAAGAACGTTTTGAAGATTCACCAAAGCTGGAAAATACTCGTGCACGTACACGTTCTTGTTAACGCCGCAAAAAGTGAACTTGAAGTTGCTTGGAATCACCTAGTACACAGATTTTCTGGTGATTTTCTTAACTTAGGTTTGCCCATAATAACACAACACATGACATTGCTCCTCATGTCCATTCGAACATGATGGATTACGATCTTTTAAAAACTCGCTATTATCCTTGTTCCCTGCGCATGAACGCTCTGAAGAAACATGCCTTTGTAGAGAATGCGTGTAGTGCATTATTGTGACGTTCGTACTAAAACACATAAGATTTTGTTGTTTGCCAACCCCTTACAATGCTTGGAAGCAACCTTGAAGTGGGAGGAGGAGGAAAATGAAAATGATGGCGGCAGCAGAGGGACGACCATCATCGTAGCTCTGTGGTACGAGTATCGGACGCGTTATTGTAGTCGTGCTCTTACGTGACACGCATCTCATAATTATCATGTTTGCACCAGTCATACCTTCGTCCTTCATTCGCGTCCAGTAATACAAAATTTTGCATATGTAAAGCTAGCGAAACGGCTGTGGCCACGCTGCTGTCGTCTAGTGGCTAAGGTACTCGGCTGCTGAACCGCAGGTAGCGGGATCAAATCCCGGCTGCAGCGACTGCATTTACGATGGAAGGGAACACGCTGTGGGCCCCTGTGATCAGATTTGGGAGCACGTTAAAGAACCCCAGGTAGTCGAAATTTCTGGAGCCTACGGCGTCTCTCATAATCATGTGGTGGTTTTGGGACGTCGAACCCCACATATCAATAAAGAGAAACGACTGTGAGCGCACCATGAGCGAGCGTGGCATGCAGTCACATTGTTACATGACATGCATTTCATGATTTCCACGTTAGGGTCTGCCACTTGTGTTCGCCATGCAGTCATGTGATACCATACCATTTTTCAATATGTCATGAGAACGATAGTAGCGCAAGAGCAGCAAAATCATGACATGTAAATTATGACATTCATGACACAGATTACATTATTTCTATATTACGAGTAGTGACTTATGCTAGTCATACAATCATGTTATGCCATACCAATTTCGGTATCAATACCATTATCGAGACGGTCAGGAGAGCTAAGAGCCGTAGGCGTCTAGATAGATAGATAGATAGATAGATAGATAGATAGATAGATAGATAGATAGATAGATATATAGATAGATAAATAGATACGCTCAAAGTAGCTGAAGTTCGCCAAGAAATACTCCGCACTTATTAGCTCGCCACTAGTATGACGAGCGTCCACTTAGCGGGCGAGTCGCATGGCGTCACACGTACTGGAGGGAGGGGTCATGGTTTTGAATCCCGGGAATAAAACTTTTTTTCTGGGTATGTCTTTTTTATCTGTTCATATAGATTGTACAACGTAATATCCGTGACGGAAATACGTCAGTGAAGTCTTGGTGGACAACGCCGTGAAAGATTTTCGTGTTGAAATCCTGTATGTGATGGCGCAAGCATATGGCGTCGCCCTAACCCCACTTAACACGAAGTCTCGTCATCACGTGATCACATCACATAGTTTTTTTGCTCAATAGAAGGTCGATCCAGGAGGTACTGCAATACGCAATTTAGTGCTCAAGACTTCGCGTGCCTGCGATCTCGTGTGCAGTGCGAAACCCCGCAAAGTGGAAAGAGCTTGCGAGTGGTGATGCGGAGAATGAATGCGATTGACCGGCAAAGAAAAGATGGCTGTCAGCTTTGAGTGGTGTTTGGCCTATGCATGAGGTGCTGTGTGAATTTGCGATCACTTATTATAAGCTGGAGAGATGGCCTTAAATGGCCTTAAGTTGTTGTCAGGCTAGTCGGACACGTACATATAACAAAAAGAGAACTGTCCACTGAGAAGACTTTTACTTAGGAAACTTCAAACTGAGCAGATATTGCAGTGACGAAAGTGTGATTTTGTGGCAACTGCATTTCAGAGAGGACACCATTTCTCAATTTATATTGTCGCAGGTGACAGTGTACCCAGATATCCAATAGGTTATACTTTTATAAGAGACAAATTGTTAGGGATAATTTGGGTGTTCACTACAAATTAGCTGCTCACGTGCTTTTTCACATTATCGGAGTTCGTTATTCAAGCAGTGACGAGCTTACCATTCTTACTTGATTTGATATAGCGCATAGCGAAAAATGAAGCAGCAGCCAAGCTGCCAAATGAAAGGACAAAGCGCGAGCTTTCATCTGATTTTTATTGGCGGAATGCTTCAAACATATATACGTGCAATAACACCTGAGTATCACGTATACGCCAACAAAAAGCCTTTCATCCCACTTTCACGGAACAGATATCAATATTTCATGGATGGTTCAGGTGGTTAAAAAAACATTTCGTATACAGATAGGATCGTTGGTGGGTCACAGACGCACGTTCTGCTAGCTTGTTATGTAATAGGTTTCTATAATGTGGTGTGCCTTGCCTATGATGTGTCTCAAGCACTTCGAATTCATTACATTTTGTCGAGCTGCTAGGGCAGAGTCGAATTGCATTTGAAGAGGTGGCAGTTCTATAGGCTTCTGTAGTAGAACTTTTTCGAGTGACTTATTTTCAGCTTATGGAAACCGGTTAGTGAGTTCCAAGTCGGAGGGACTGCACGTAGAAATATTTTTCCGGTATGTGGATTGCCACTTGGTTTTATTAGGCTCTAACATGTATACTGACGCCGAGGAACTGAAGGAACCAAGTCACGCAATTCTCAATTACCCATGCACAGTGGAGATATACTGCGGCGACTACATAGGCAAACCTGTGGGTGCCCTATCCCAAGGCACTTGAACTGGTATAGCGCATTACGGGGAAGAAGAAACGGCCGAGCAGACCGACACAAGAGGACAGAGCGCTAACTTCCAACTGAGCTTTATTGTCAAACTGCATCAAATAAGTAGACCGGCGCAAGCATACAAAACCACCCTAACGCAACGACAAGATAACACACAAAATCACACCGTCACATATCACACATTCATAGGCGGTTACCCTGATTAAGAAAGGCCACTTCATGTTCAGATAAACCCAAAGAAGGGGCGCTAATACACGTGCTGCCAGCTCTTGCTATACAATGCGCTTCTATAATTTCTCGAGTTAATTGTGACGGGTGCTTTTTTATCACTTCACACTGGTCAAACATGGGGGTACATTCACAATCGCGGCAGTGAATTCCAATGTGGCCCTGGATTGCTTTGTGAGCATTATAATGGTGCTCTTTTAGCCTTTCATTAAGGCATCGCCACGTTTGGCCGAAATACCACATACCACTTGAGAATGGAATCGCGTAAACAACCCCCACTACACACGGCACAAACCGAGTTTTGTGCTTAGTTGCGCAACCAGTGGTGTGTGATTTGAGAGGTTTGACAGCTTTGTAAAGCCGCTGTAACTTATCCGGCGCTGAAAACACCACTTTGACGCAGCATTTCTCCTCTATCTTTTTTAGCCGGTGGGAAATGTCATGCACGTAGGGTAAAACTATACGGGTCTTTTTCGGTCGTTAGATTCCGGCTGGGCCTCAGAGTTGCATCCTTTCTTTATCTGTTTTAATAGCTTTTCAGCTATAGATGCCAGTAGGATAGCTGGGTACCCAGAACTCAAAAGCCTTTCAGCTTGAGCAGCAAAGCTGCGATGCATGACATGATGACACGATTTCCTGAGAGGATTGATGAGAGAAAGATTTGTGATGCTGCGCTTAACTAACTTGGAATGGGAAGAGTCATAGGGTAAAAGGGGTTTTCCATTTCTAGGTTCAAATAGCCAGCACACATGGTCAGGTGAAAGAATTAAATTCAAATCTAAAAAGCGTAAGCTATTGTCAACTGGCAACTCATGAGTCAATAAAAGCGGTTTAAAACATTCCTTAAAAGTCATTACAATACCGTCGGTTAGGTGCTGGCAAGCAGCGTCGCTGCAGTCAATGAAACTTAAAAAGTCGTCTACGTAACGACACATTTTGGTGACAAAGTTTTGGTTCAGCATGCTCATCAGCAAGCGGTCATGATAAGCAAGGTATATGTCACTAAGGATTGGGGCGAGGCATGACCCGATGCAGACACCACTATTCTGTATGTATTTACGATCATTAAAAGATACAAACGTCGACTTGATGTAAAAGGACAGAAGCTCTAAGAGGTTACTGTTATGGACACCCGTGAGAGTCTGGAAGGCTACACCACCAAATGAGTCAATGGCATTGTCAACACACTGTAACAACTTCTCATGCGGCAAAGAGTAATACAAATCTTTTATATCGACCGAAAAAGCGTTTCTTCTTCCCCGTAATGCGCTATACCAGTTCAAGTACGACGAACCAACTCGCCCAATCTTCAACACTCGTGGCCTATCGCGAGGCGTTATTAAAAAGCCCAGACCACGCTTGTGATTGTCTAATATTTATTGCCATGATCATAATATTGGTTATGTCCTCAAAAATAGACCGAAACCTCGAGAGTGGCCGATTATTTCTTCCACCATCCGTAGTTGCCGTTGTACCCTCCGACCACACGGCTGCAGGAGTCGTCGTACACCTGGTACTTGGGAGCGTTTCCGCAGAACAGGTCGAATATGAAGTCGCAGTAGTCGGCCCGTCGGTTGAATGTGTGGGACAGACGGCGCCACTGGATGCATCCGTATCCTAGCGGGAACAAAAAATTCGGGAATCGTTTGAGCCATTACTGTACTCCTAATCACGATCCACAGCGATTTCACTTGCAAAAATATACTTATCAGGTCTTGCTTTTGCTTATCCGATCACACGAAAAAGAAATATGCTTCAGTGGCTTATTTACTGCAGCTCAGCTTCTTCCCGTCACTATTGTCACTAAGCGGACACTTTTTGATATATTTATGCTATAACGTTGTCGTGCAAAACATGTGTGTACATGGCTAAATAGCATGTGGTGCGTACAAATACCCAAATACGTGGGACACGGATGATTGCGTATACCGAAAGACAGGTGATGCTGGGTCCGAGCAAATATCCACAGTGAAGTAGACGCAGGTACGCAGTGATTTATTTTGACGTTGTGGCCGTGAGTACAGCCTTATTCGCTAGATGAAGGCCGGACTCTCGTTGGAAACGTCAAAGTTAATCTGTTCATACGCGTGTCTACTTCACCGTCTATACATATATGTTAAAGTTATGCTGAATACAAAACAGAGTGATTAGCGAAATTTACTTGAAAGACTTTAGTTGGTAGGTAATGTTGCAATTTAGAATAAGAGGTATTGTCCTCTTCATTCCGATGCAATATTAAACATGTTCTGACTTGCCTTGTTATTTGTTAAACGTTCAGTTCTTTACTATTTAGCCTAACTTCAGTGGTCCGCCTCGATAGTGCAGTGGTTACGAGGCTCGGCTGCTAATCTGAAGGTCGCTGGTTCGATCCCGGTGGTCGCATTTCGATGAAGGCGCAATGGTGGAGGCCCATACAATGTGCGATGCCAGTGCTGCACGTTAAAGAACTCCATGTGGTCGAAATTGCCGAAGCCCCTCCACTACGGCGTCTCTCGTAATCATATCGTCGTTTTGGAACGTGAAACCCCAGATAATATCACTACGTTCACTTGCGTGAAAATCCACAGCCTTTATATGCTTCGGGGTAACCAGAGCTGGTTACTGAAGCTGTATAGTGATGCTAAACGTATTGTTTTAAATATTAAAAAATATCTGCGCTGAACAAGCTTCACAATAATTTCTTATGTTAGACTCACATAAGGCTGTACAACTTCTTATCACCTGCTCGTCTTGTATAGAACAACGCCAAAATTCTTTTTCCGGTTGAGCATAGAAGTAACAATGCTTAAGTATGTCAGCACAATACTTGGTTGCAATTGAAGACTGCAGGTGCGGCAGAGTCTTCGAACTTACTGCTACAGTTTACCTTTTACTGGCAAAATTATGTACACACTCCACTGTTACACAGCCAGGGAAATTCATGGCAGAATAGCGCCAAGAAATACTGAACAGGTATTGTACTCAGGGCGTTAAATTTCACAATAGCTTTGTGAACCAAGCGTGCTCTTGCAAAGTAGGAGTTAGCGCTCAGTGAAGGAGAATTCAATCAACCAAAGGAACAAGCAGGATTTCGAACAGGCTGCTCAACAATTGACCACATTCATACTATCAATCAGGTAATAGAGAAATGCTCAGAGTATAACCAACCACTATACATAGCCTTCATAGATTACGAGAAGGCGTTTGATTCAGTAGAAATATCAGCCGTCATGCAAACACTGCGGAATCAGGGCGTAGATGAAGTATATATAAACATTCTGGAAGAAATGTACAGGAGATCAGCTGCTACCATAGTGCTTCATAAAGAAAGCAACAGAATACCAATCAAGAAGGGTGTAAGGCAGGGGGACACAATTTCCCCAATGCTATTTACCGCGTGCTTACAGGAGGTTTTCAGAAGCCTAGAATGGGAACAGTTAGGGATAAGAGTCAATGGAGAATACCTTAGTAACCTGCGCTTCGCCGATGACATTGCATTGCTGAGTAACTCGGGGCACGAATTGCAACTCATGATTACGGAGTTAGACAAGGAGAGCAGAAAGGTGGGTCTTAAAATTAATCTGCAGAAAACGAAAGTAATGTACAACAACCTCGGCAAGGAGCAGCGCTTCGAGATAGGTAATAGTGCACTTGAAGTTGTAAAAGACTATGTCTACTTAGGGCAGGTAATAACCGCAGAGCCGAACCACGAGATTGAAGTAACTAGAAGAATAAGAATGGGGTGGAGCACATTCGGCAAGCACTCTCAAATTATGACAGGTAGATTGCCACTATCCCTCAAGAGGAAGGTATATAACAGCTGTATCTTGCCGGTACTTAGCTACGGAGCAGAAACCAGGAGACTTACAAAGAGGGTTCAGCTTAAATTGAGGACGACGCAGCGAGCAATGGGAAGAAAATGGTAGGTGTAACCTTAAGAGACAAGAAGAGAGCAGAGTGCATTAGGGAACAAACGGGGGTTAAGAATATCATAGCTGAAATCAAGAAGAAGAAATGGACATGGGCAGGGCATGTAGCGCGTAGACAGGATAACCGCTGGTCATTAAGGGTAACTGACTGGATTCCCAGAGAAGGGAAGCGGGTTAGGGGGAGACAGAAGGTTAGGTGGGCAGATGAGATTAAGAAGTTTGCGGGTATAAATTGGCAGCAGCAAGCACAGGACCGGGTTAACTAGCGGAACATGGGAGAGGCCTTTGTCCTGCAGTGGACGTAGTCAGGGTGATGATGATGATGATGATGAAGGATAATACAATTTTCCCTATAAGACGACGTGCAGTGGTCACCCTGGGACCCCTGGGATACTTCTGTATATGTATAACAAAAGAGTTTGCTGTATGTGAAAGATTGCTTAAGACACGTGGCATGAGCCTCTCGAAGGCATGAGTTTATGCGATATAAAATACATAACTTCTTTGATGACAATAACGTGATGTGCCAAAACACTTCGTCTATGTCGCTTATAACTATAGTGTCTTGAGTAAAGCACAGTAATTCTCGTTCAACTTACCGTTAAGAGCATAGCGATAACGCGCGATGAAGCAGGTGTTGCAGTCTTTGTAGATCGTGTGCATGCTGTAACTGTCGACACCTGGAAAATAAAAAAAATCCTCGCGGTATTAGCATGTTTTAGATGATCTTTTGATGTACGAGTATAAAGAAAAAGAACTTAAAAATTATCACCAGCACTATGATACAAACAGACTGCGGAAAATAGAAAGCTGTACAAAACCCGTTCTTATACATCAGTAATGATTACCAGATGGCAACCCTCTTATTTTCCATTTGCCCTAAATTTTTGGAACCGAGTGGCGGTAGATATCTATTGTGCGATTTTGCTTTTTTGAAAATTTATTTCATGGGTGTCACATTTTTCAACGATCCACCAGTTTTATGGTATCGCGATACGTATGAGGTGAGACACCAGTTTGTTATTATGTTTCCTTGTTGAGTCAATACTTAGCAAACCCGGTAATTTAGCAGGATCATGCGGTGAGGTTCCTTATTCTTTATCGCAACATGGCTGACCACTAGCTTACCGTTGACGGCCAAGAAGTTGTACTGGTTCCTCGTGCGGTATCCAGGCATCGAAGTGAGAACGTAACGGCCGACGCTGTAAAATGAACGAGGTCGTTGAATGGAAGCGTCTTTGCTAGTGCGCTACGTCATAGTTTCAGCTGCCGCTATATGACAGTGAATAAAATAGCTACTTCGTTACAGGTAATGTTTTTTGAGGTAAGACAGTTTTTTTTTATCAATGCGTCAAACATGAAGTCTTCCAATTAAGTTATCCGCTTGCACGTTCTATTATGTTATGAGTAGCGAGGTTACTGTTTCTAGCTTTCTGACGACGGAGTAATTTTCACGTCTCCATAAACAGCACAATACCTTCTAGTCACGTAGTAGGGAAAGCTACAATAAATATCAGAACAAAACAAAACCACAATATGTCTCTTTTCTGTTTAGCGACAATCTTGCTCTTCATTTTCCTGTGGGGCTCTCACGACGCAGCTAGGGCGCCCTCAGGTGGAGGGCTGTGAAGTTCGGCACATTGGCAGAACATCGCTTGTCGTGTGGTGGTGTTTCACTCTGATATTGGTGGGGTTCTCACGTGACATTAAAATCGGCTTGAGCGCGAAATCCACGAAGCGTTCATGATAAAGAAAACAAGGAAGTGCCACCGTCCAGGAGCAGTGAATCGTGCTTCTAGAAAAGGTGATTGTGTATTTGTCCGCATAATAGCGTTATCTGGACTCGTGGTGGACATAATTGTTCTTGATTCCCTGTGATAATGCGACAGGCGTATTTTTTGTTTTGTATTTATCTTGTATCTATCGTATTTTTGTTTTAATTGAAGTAAACGTCCACACAGTTTTTTGATAACGCTTGTGTTGTTTGGTTCTTACCCTTTGTCATTTTTTATGATGGTTGCATCTCAATAAAGCGCTTCCATTTGTCAAATTAGGTACCGGAAGCATCTATCACTGGTTGAGGATAACTTTACTCACGTCTCAGACACTCAAATGTCTTTGCGCTAAATATAATTGCACTAGCACATAAAAATAGAATTATCTTGCGACGTGAACGTTGTTTTAGACTTCACAGTTTGAGCCTCTTTATGTATGATATACCTGTAGGAAACTTGATTTTACAAGTGTAGGTTTACAAGAGCACATTCTTAGCGGCGTCAAAAGGAGCCGAATAAGGCGACGCACCCTGTAATACGTGGGCTTGTGAGCTCGCTCCCGTTTTGTTCCTCAAGTGATCTGAACAGATTTCAATTTATTTGGTTTTCACGAAACATTTTCCGTCCGTAAATTCGCCGTCGGCTTAAGCTGTTTTCCCCGACAGTAGTGAAAGCACACGTCTTTGCAGGAAGGAATTAGATTATTTGTAAAGGTATTTCTTGGTACGTGAGAACGCTGATGCTCACAATTCTTACATTTTTAAAATTGACAAGTACCTCACCTTGATCCACATCCACGTCCATAACCGTCCTGGCACCAAGAGAACCTGACGTTCATGCTGTACCCATTGAACGGTCCGATTCTCTCGTACTTCACGCATTTTGCGGTTCCACCGAAGTGATGATCGTAGGGATAGTTTCTCTTGGTCATCACCCATTCGCCATTGTTGGGGTAGCACTAGGTACATGCATAAAATAAGAGAAACGTGTTAGTGGCCTTTAAGTTATAATGCAAGGCGATTTTTATAATCAGAACTCTGAAAACAAATTTGAAGCAGCTTTATGAACTTAACGTCGCGAAGACATTAAACAATGCAAGTGGTGGCATTGTGTTGCCATTTTATTACTTGAAGTTGCTTTGTAGTAGATTTGTCACCATGTGCACTGTTCAACCATGTCTTCGCAACGTTAAGCCAATTCATAATGCGGAGTCAAGTGGAGATGGGAAGTTGCCCAATTTCTGTGGCACCTACCTTCCAGGCTGTTTATACGGAGTTTCTTCACTATTTTGGTGGACCGGAGGTGGGTATAGGAGTGACTACCGAGTTTGCGAGACTCATACCCGCTAGAATTTGCTTGGGCGCAAACTCGCTCCAGGTTTCTTCCCGAAAGATTTTTCATTTCTTGAAGGACTATATAGACGATAAATGGGACTTGTCCAATTTACATGCTCAGCTTCAGTTATCGTTTTTTATTCTAAATTAGAATACAAGCCACCCAGACGTATTGTCTCGTCACTGCTGCAATTTATTGTCTTCGAAGTCATTAGTTTGTGTCGACAGCTTTACAACACACCGGTGCTGGGCTGGTACTCTACACACGTCCACTTAGCACACTTTTCATTTCAGCAAGTTTTGAATGACAAAATATTGAGAGCGAGTGAACTGACACCAATTACGAACCATAGCTTCTATTTCTATCCAATCACTGCCCGCTGAAACGAACAGTTTATTTAGTGGACACTCATGAGCCCTTTCAGTCACGGTGCGTACAAATGTACACGCCAACTTGAGTGGCACGTAACGCACCACGTGTATCATCAAATAACTTGAAACTTGTGTGCACATTCGGGTAGGCCCTTGAGTGGAGAACTGGCGATCAGTTATGATGCTTCATTATGTTGCGTATTGCCGCAGAGGATCACTTTGCTGGATAATAATGTTCGACGATTGTTCTCCGTAGCGCGTTCCAGGAGCAACGTGAAAAGTACTTTTTTCTTCGCTTGAAACAAATACAACCAAAGAACAAGAGCATGTTCATGAAGAGAATGGTGACGAGTGGGTAAAACTCCAGAGATTTAATCGATACCCACGAATCTTCCAAGAACTTTGCCCAGTTGATCATCATGGAAGAAAAGCGAGCAGACGCTGCAGCCGTTTTCCGACCCCTCCACTCCGCCGCGCTGTCTTCGGCGCTCATACTCGAAGCAAACAAACTGCCGGCGAAAGAGGAAGCGCGCCAAGAGCGAACGCATTGCCATCTCGTATTCAATTCATCATGAATGGATAGATGTATGGATGCTATGAGCGTCCTCTTTATAACGGGGTGGTGACATGTGTGCCACCAGGCTCGCAAGAAGAAAAAAAAATGAAAAGAAAACCTTCTTTTCATGTTGGCTTGATGCCTTATCTACTTCAATTAAACATCTTATTATGACAAAAAGTATAAATTTATGTTCCATCTCTCGGCCTCTTCAGGCAGATTAACCTAATTTTTCCACATTTTATGCCCAGTATGCATGGCCACTTTTCTGCCACCAATACTCCAACCGTCTCTTAGTTGCTTCTATCGTGGACGTGGTCAGCTTTATATGTTTGTCCCTAAAACCCAAAGCCTCATGTAGGCTCGTACCAACACGCATACCTGGGTGGATATCGCTGAATTCAACCAGAACATGTTTGATTGTTTCCTTTGCTCCCCAACAGCATGTACATTGTTCTTCTTTATCGAACCTCGCTTCATTATTAGGCGTTTAGGTGAAGCCCTTCTTCTTGAATTATCATAAAACCTATCCCGCCTTATTTCGTTCTTGCGATTGCGGTAGTTACGAAGAGCCGGCTTCTTGTCCATCGCTGTCATCCGATAAATCCTCTCCGCCTCTCTGACTTTTCGCTTAAAGTTCCTTGTTGCGATCTCCTATGCTGCACAAGTGCTATCTAGTGACCTCTCATCACACTATGTGCTCTTATGCACTTTATTATGCATAGCGTCACATCGCCATCTAGTGAACACTCCGAGAACTAGGGGTGGCTACGAGAACGTCGGACTTGCCTCTGCCTCATGGAGCTTCGCCCCTGAAACAAACTTCAGGTATTTCGGGTCTAATAGTGGATTCTTTTTATACAAGTGCTTAAGCTGACCGGTGGAAGAATAATTATATAAATAGTTACATACTAAATAATCTTAATTACTAAAATGGACACAAAACAATGCTTTCCTTCATTTTATCACTCGTAATGCAATACTAAGAGACTTCGAATTACGCGAGGCTGACTCGTTTCTGACAATGCATCATAATTCGTCACTGTAAAAAAGCACATGTCCCATTTTGCAATCATTGAAGTATTTTGAATTGCTTTCACACCACTTATCGACCAGCCCAATATTGACAAACTAACAATATTTTGTCTTACGTATTCTCAAAGTTGTTCACTGAAGCTCTTATTTTACTTTTATTTACTTATTTATTTTATTTTACTTATTTTACTTATTTTTACTTTACTTCATTGCCTTTTCAGACCGCTTAAAGCCAGTCGATTCTGTCTTCACTTGCTTGTTGAGAGTATTGATTACAAAGTGGCTTTTTGATCTAAACTGATGCAAAAATGGGCTGCTTAAAACGGATAAATATTGCATACAAGCCTTCGTCATCTGGGACAGCTGGAATGCTGCGTTTTAATGTATATTTCTGCGAGTACTATATGACATTATACATAGCATGGTGGTTGGGGTGGTTTCTGTTTTTCCTGCATCCTTGGTTGATCCAAGCTGATGAAGTTCACCAAGCGCGCAATCTATAAGTGCGAATTATGTTGCACATGAGTTGGCTAAATTTCACATGGTTAAGCTCATAGGCATTTTTCATTGCAGCGCCAATCATAATCCAAGAGCGGAAGCCTGCCACCTCTTGTTTTGTTGCAACACGTTTGATCACTGGCTTTTAAGGATGGAAAAACTGATTGACTTACATTTCATGAAAAGGTTACTCCCTGAAAGTGACATCACTATGCATTCATGACAGCGTGATTGCTTGAACTGATTCGAACGATAATATTATGTAGGATGGTTGCGGCAAAATTTAAGCGCACGGACGAAGGAAAGAAATACGAAGGCAGTTCTGAGACTAACAAGTGACGTTTTATTGAAAACCTTGCAGAATATGCACAGGCGTGGCTATATCTACAGATAAAAACATTTGCTCAAGGATTGCAGAGGCTAAACAAGATTAGTTGGGCAGTTGTCACGCAGGTAGTCATTTTATCTCCGCGAGAGGACAACTGATGGGGTGCTGACGGAATCCGTGCCTTTCTATTTTACGTCGAATGCTTCTGTAATTTCGCGAAAATCCGTGCGTTTAAATATAACCGCAGCCATTCGACATGCAAGATCACCAACTAGCCCAGATGCACATCGCTCTAATAATAATAGCTAGGGTTGTACGTGCCGAAACCACGATATGATTGGGAAGCACACCATAGTGGAGGGCTCCAGAAATTTTGAACATCTGATGTTCTTCAGTGTTCTCTGACATTTGAGAGTTCAGAAGGCATTTCGCATCCACTGAAATGCGAACGCCATAACTGGGATCGAACCAGCGATCTTCAGCTGAGCAGCCGAGTACTCGAACATCACCGCGGAACATCACCATTTGAACAGTGTCTGACTGTATTTATATCATTTCTATACCAAATTAAGAAAACAAAAAAGTTGTGAGGACTCACAGGAGGGGGGTTTTGGAATCTTTGCAGCGACGGGTTCAGTTCGGGGTATTGTGCCACAGCGCTTTCTTGCTGAACTAAGACTGCGACAGTAGTTAGGATAACACCGAGAAGAGTCGACATTGTTGCGATCACTCGGAGGAAAATGGAGAAGACTGCGTACAGAGAGTTGGCTTTTATTCGCAACACCAAAGAAAAAGAAAGAGAAGGATGAACCGCCGAAGGAAATCTGTTGAGCCCGCACTGCTCGCGGCGTACGTTTAGACGCCACACGCAACATTTCTTTTTTTTTGTGTACACTTGTTTGTTTTTGGTGGCTTGGTGTTCGTTTGAGTGTACGTCAAGTTTTAGATCTAAGTTATTATAGTCACAAAAAAAAACACGGTCAGCTAAAAATAAATGGCGAGACAATATCCGAAAAAAAAAATCATTTGTGACAGATATGTCCTGGCAAAGAAAACTGATTATTGATAAAAACAGAAACCTAAAAAAAAAACAAATTCACGTTGCGCAGAATATGACGACTAGCATGAAGCTTTAAGCGAACTTGTGAGCATTTGTGATTGTTTTCAAATGCCACGTAAAACATACTTTGAGAAGCATTTGTGTAGTAAGTCTGCATGGACGTTTTTTTTTCTTACATTGTGTTACGCCGTAGGCCCGAAACGATGAACCTCATATTAGAAGAAAACAAAGACTGTTTTAGAGGGTACTTTTTTAAACGAGGTCAGTAGACTGATGTTGCGCCACTGACAGTCCAAGTGTGCCGAGGAATGAGGTGCATGCGACGCAAATACATGCGATTTTGATATAAAAATTCGTCATTTATTAGCCACAAGTAAATTTATCAGTGTGGATATGGTGGCCTAGATGATAATTGTGGAATGCTGGCTCATGCAGGATCTTGGTTTGAAGTAATCGGGTGATTCTCATGTTTCAAGAAAACTTTACGGCTGAAACCAAAACACGCGCCTGAAACAGTGCGCCCCTCCGGTTTGTTGCGTTCCTACAGATCCGTGTTTTAGGTTGCACCGTAAAGTATTCCTACAATTAGACTGTATTTTTAATTCAAGAAAGCAAACAAAAATAGTTTTCAACATGGCAGCTGGAGTTCACACCAGGTGGAAAATGGCCAAGTGCAGCTTGAAGGTCTCTTGGGGTTCATAGAATCATACATACCGAAAATCAAAATGTATAAATTAGCATATAAATAGCTGATTCCCTCCCCTACTGATAAACGTAAACGATAAACGTACTGATAAACGTAAACGAAAGTCACGCTATCAATACCCGGAATCTTGGAGGCTAGCTTATACTACGCTTTCTTACCGACTATAAACTTCAGTCGTTGAAATATAAGCTTTCATGCATTCTTAACAAGCATAAACATTTATATAAACCGGTGCTAAAGACATTACGCGAATTATTTTTGAATTACTAATGTATTCATACGTTTCAATTATTTATTCATGCTGTGCTACATTTTACTGTATACCTTTACGTGTGGTTAGCTACCATGCTTTTTTTTTCTTATATTGTGTAGATATTATTGTTTCGTGTAGCTTACTGCCAAAATTACAGGTGTACTATAGCTGTTTTTTTCTTGTATTTTCAGTATTACATTTTTTTCTGTAAATAAACTTGAGTGTTCTGTTATTGTTTGTTTGTTATTAGAAATGTGTTCTTTCAAAACAATTCTCAGTTGTGTTTGTACAGGTATTGTTATATGCTTTTTTTGTAAATATTTTTTCTACCATGTGTGATTATGACTTATATATTTTTTGTTGCAAAAATTTTCAGCTGTCACTTGTTGCCATGTAGCTGGTCATCTGGGCCTCAGTCAAGCTGTTTCATTACAGCTTTTAGCCCAGGAGACCATCCAAAATGTAATGTTTTCATTTTATTCTGGGAAATAAAGAGACAGACAGATACGTATTACATGCATTGTACATATGTGCATAAATAGACGAAAAGATTTCAGCTACAAAGAAATGATGAGTTGGAATTACGATTAATATGACCGATACATACATGCGCAGATAAGTGGGTGCAATAGGTCTATATCAATGCAAAGTTATAGCACAAATGATGCGTAATTTTTTTAAAATCTGCCACGAAGGAAAATATGGGTGGAACGAATAGGAATATTCAGAACTGTTTTGAAATAAAGCAGCTCTATTTGACGTGAAAATATCGGGAGGGGCACCCTGTTTAAATGGTTATTTTTCGCTCTAAGTGCCATGGCAAAAAAAAAATATATCTATGCATAGGGTGCTGCAGAGGGTGCTGCATACGATGGTGCAGTTTCAAACTCCTCATTTTGGCTGTGGACGCCTATTGCAGAGGGTCCTGCAGACGGCTTATACGATGGCGCAGTTTCAGATTGACCATCAATTATTGGTCGTGAACTGTCAACATGTTGGGATACTAGGCCTGATTCTCCCGTTGTACCAAATATGCGAGTCATCTGGTTAGCCAAAATTTGAGATAGAGAATCACAAAGGTTAGAAGCCAGTCATTCCACGGCTTTTTCTAGAGCCTTTTCTACAACCTCCGCGATATTCAGGGAAATCGACCCATTCATTTCCGAGATATGTCGTGCTGCAACATTGGCATACCCCTGAGTTCTGGCCTATATTTCCTCTGTGGCTTCTCGTCGAGAACAGCGCCTACGCCCTATTATTTCAAGAATTTGTATTTCTCGAGCCTTAGCTGAGCAATCAGGACTATCTGCACAGTGTTGTAACACTGTGCAAGACTATCTGCACAGTTTTAGGGGGGGGGGGAGCGGATTGTGCAGAATGTGAAGAATAACAATCAGGCATTCGAGCCAGAATCAAATCTCGAAAAAATATCATTTGGGAGGAAGTGTTGCATCAGAAAACCGCGTGGGGGATAGAAATCTCTAAAAAAAAGAAAGTCATGTACGTGTCATGCAAAGTAAATGGTCACGTTAACGCATGTTTATTGCGAGACAGAAGCGTAGAATTGCCCTAAGAGTCATGTCATGTGTTCTAGAAACCTGAAAGAGGCAATTGTGTTTTCGCATGAAGGGCTCTCATTGGACATTACCGCATCTCTACACTATTTAAATAGTAGTTGATTTCATTAATTGTTCTTGTGATTCATGTGTCTATCCATATTAAGACCCACAGCTACAGCAGAAGTAATGCTGATGACATAGATCAAATATTCTATTTAATTTTTTGAAGGATATTCAGATACGTTTTAGATCAAATATTCTATTTAATTTTCTTTGAAGGATATTCAGATACGTTTTCTTAAACACCTTGTGAATCTTGCTCAGAAACGCGTTCGGCATTTGACGTGAAAAATATACATTGCCTCTCAAGTGTACAACCTCAATTGTGATAACTTTTTGGGTCGTCTCTTTATGCACGTGATTTGCTTGAGATTACGTAAAAAGGAATTTTTATTTTTTAACGGTGAAATTGAGTGCTTACTTGTCAGATATTTAGAATAGAGAGATTCACAAGGAAATAGCTGGTAATGAATTCGATATCACAGGCTTAGTGCCGTTATATTAAAACAGGAACAACCTGTCGATAGTCCCAATATTATTTTGTGGTTGAATGATATTATTGAATAAATTATCATTTCGTTCAATGCCATTTTTTGCATAATTGAATGAAGTGTTTTCTAATACAAGTATTTAGTTTTTGTTGCGATTTTGTCACCAATAGCTGGGCGAGTTGTACGGATTCGTGACTGAAGAATACAATCGTCAGTGTTTCGTATCTTTGCGTTCCGCCGTCGCTCAATCATAAACTTTTTTTCACTGTTGTAAACACTTGCCGAATGATGTAGGTATGTAGCCATAGTTAGCCAGCTACTGGGCCAAACAAGTCTTCTTGCGAAGTTTTATGTCATGTTGATATCGAAGGCACAATAAAAACTTTGAAAAGTATGTGGTAATTCGGGTTCGCCGTACTTTTTTTTTTGCCAGAAGCCAAAGTGATTGTGCCCAAAATAAACGGAAGGAAACGGTTTATTGTTTTTCGAGACTTTTTGAAAACACCGAAGGGCAGCCTCACCGAAGCAACGATAACAGGAAGGTCACCAGCACAATCGAAGTGCATTTAAAAAAAATAAGAACCACTCATCGATTTTCGAAACACAATGGCCTTGTCATGTATGACAACACGTGGACATGGCATTGCAAGCTTGTCAGTTTTGAACACAGTTATTTGTGTGGTGTAATATTAAAAAAAACATGGATCTTTCAATGTTATTCAGACATCGTGCATAAAATTTCCGCAAACATTGCTTCCATTCGGTCTTCAATACTGCTTTAGCATGACACATTTGTTGAATATTTCAATATGGTGGTTTTGGGATGTTAAACCCCACTTATCAATCGATATTGAATATTTCAAATTTTTTGGTTTCTGTAATGTAAATCACTATTGAGAAAGAAAGGCGAACATTTGAAAATTCTCAACTTATTCAGTATGTGCTAATCGGCTAGTTGATGAGTGATGATTTTCGATGGATCAGTAGCAGCACAGAGCTTGTTCAGTCCATTTCTATTTCAGGATTGCGTTGTCCTGTGTACTGATTCATAAAATATCATAAGTTATCGCAGCCCATGCTTAATAAGCAGACCTTTTTTTCATGTTGTTTTTATCTTAAGGCATGAGATAAACTGCAGGGCGCCAATTTGGTACAGGACGTAGAGGAACACACATGGCTTGTCCTGTGTTGTGCGAGCTTAAGTGCCCAATACCGAATTGTGCAGTTCGAAATTATGAAAAAGACTAGCAATGCAAACAAATTTTAATAAAGGGGCCTTGCCACACTTCTTCAGCAAGGTCACAAAACGCTGATTATTGGTAGCTGAGGCTCTTGAGAAAATGAGCGCCAAGGACTACAGACCAGCATGTGGCCTGGAGGTTACAAATATTTCGCAGATATCTACAAATTTTTCCGTTTCTACGAATGATGCAATATTTGCAATGACGCGGCGACAGTATGGTACGATAACCACGACGCTTCATTCACGAGTTGGTAAGAACTCCATCGGCAGATTCACGAAGCCTCCAGTAACTCTGAAAGGGAAAAAAAGAGCGGAACAGGTACTTTCTTCGCGGCTTCAAATGCCGAACGAGAGCGTCGCCATGTTTGTCGA